TTTTTTTAGTAATACACACAAAGTTATATCATAATGAATATTGATCCATTGAAACAACGAAATCAAGATGCCATAACAGTAGCTATTGCTCGACGCACTGAATTGTTTGCTTTCGTAATTGGTGAAGCCAATAAATTTGCAAATTTTTGCAGTTCTTCATTCAAAATTCTGTTGCCAATGATGTGAACTGTCTCAACATTTGTAACATATTGGCCGATGATGCTGTCAAAAACTTTGCATACTGCCCCATCTTTCTTCAATTTGGATCGTATCGCCGAAACTTTTTGTTTTGCAAGTGTTGGGGGTCTCGTCTCTTCGCTTCTGATCACAGCCAACGCCACTAACTGAATCAATTGGGAATCTAGTCGATATTCTGCATCATCTCCACCGTTGTCCCAATCTGCAAGAGTGAAAACGGTATAGGGAGGCGTCGTTAGATCATCCGTCGGTTCATTGAACGAACGGCATCGGATATATGTTGATTGATGGTGAAAACGCGTTCGTAGTTGTCGTAATTGAAAGAGGTTATCATATGAGGATATTGCTTTGGCATTTTCGTTGATCGCCAATGCGGAAGCAGCATGCCACGCAGAATCCTTGACGAAGAGCTGGGTGTTGAGGGACTTAACAGACGTTTCCAAACAGAATGATGAAGTTGTTGGCCCGATTTCAGGATCACTGGATTTATCCAAGCGTAAGCTAGATGTAATCAACGCGTTGAACGTCTTAGTTCCCAGAATCAGCTTCGTCCCATCACCGTCGCGGATGCTTGTTGGCCATACATGAGGGTATTTTGTAATTTCCGACGGTAAAGAGCTTGATGACGTGCCTCGTCTTGTTCGAAAACTTTCCCTATGGGAATCAACGGTACATCTTCTTCCATAGACTTCGACACAGTTCACAACAATGGCCTTTCCTGAAGATGTGTCAAGTACGATCATGCCTGCAAGAAGTCGACTGCACGCGTATCGCATCTGAGGATGTTCGGACCAGCCTTGATTGAGAAACGTGCAAAGATTGTCGTTCATTTCTGTGTATTGATGGTGTAGAAATTGCTGTGAATGTGGACCAGCCTTTAGAGCACTGTAAAGCTGCACTGACAAAGCTGTGTTTGTCCCTGTGTTATCATGCTTTCGCCGCTTTGTTGGCAATACTGCCGATACTGCAATAGTCTGACTGCAAGGCTGTAAGTGAGATTCGTGTATCAATGCATTTTCCTCGACATCGTTCTCGGTTGTCATGGCGATGGGATGCATACTGACCGCCTCCATAAAGCTGACCAGTCGTTTTTTCTCTCCTTCGTTCCAGTCTTCGACATTGCACGCAAGTAGCATTGCATGTTGTCGTATTTTTCCTTCCTTTACTAACTAATCTTCGTGTGAGATTACTCCATTACTATACTGCTTACAGTCACTCTACATTTAGCATTATGTACCCCTCTTATTTTAATTTGTAACACGTCAGATTGTAAATTATTATTTTATATACCAAGCCTTACTTTGTATTAATGAGCTCATCTTGTTTTCTCACCAATAAAGAGATTCAAGAGTCTCATCGACATATATTCTTTTTATCCTTGTTATAACTCAGGTATACTACAAGTACTTATTAACAGATAAATATCACATATGTTCGTAATCTCGTTTTGATGCTGGGATAGCAGACCAATCTTGTGACACCAGATTCAGTTTCGCGGAGCCGAACAATTCAATATTTGTATCCAATTCTTCATCGCTTGTATCAGATTCCTTGCAATTGTAATCTGGGTGGCTAGAATCGAATGAAACTGATATTACGGTGGCACATTTTGTTTGGACATGACGCTGAAATCCTCTAGCCGTCTCAAACAGTTTTTCTTGAATACAAAGGCAACGAAATACACCATCTTGACGTTCGATTGTGACTTGACGTTCGATTGTGACTTGACGGTCTGTGCAAATGAAGGAAATGAAAATTTTATTTAGTTTCTAAGCAACAGGTTTTAGAAACAAACAAGTTTTATCATTAATGGTGATTGCAAACGCGAAGTCCATATGCTTCTCTTTGCAATGCGACTGGAGTGCTGTTCATGTTGCAAAATTCTCTAGGCACTTTTTGCATACAGAATTGGCTCCTTGAGACATGCTCTACAATTTTTAAAAAGAAAGGAGCAAAGCGACGAAAAATGGAAATGGCCCAGCAATCAGCGACCAGCGACGACTTTTTTGATGATTGGAGAAACAACAAATGAAGGCAGATCTGCTCATTTTCAACAAGTCTGTCCATTTTCGGTGGAGGCGCTCAATTTCGTGTCAGTCACTCAATTCAGGTGCCAGTTTCATTCCTTTTTATCAGACTCGCCCAATCTGAGTAATTCTGGGCATCTATCAAAGGCAAAATCAGGCGACACAAGCTTTTTACACGGAAACACCGTCAAACAGGATTAATAACGCTTGCAGCCAAGTGAAAATCCAAAATCTTCAAGGACTCATTGGCCATCCTGTTCTCAATTATCGATTGTGTCAATTAAAACCCCAGCATAAAAAGAAACCGACTTATTTTTGCGACTTGAAATCCTCTGCCAAGCCGACCTGTTTTCTCAGCCAGGACGACTTAAAACTCTATCCAAAGGCGAGTGAAATTATTCAGGAATGGCGACACGAAATTCTCTCCATGAACGACTTGAAATTTCTGCGGGAAGCGCCTAAAAATTTGCAACTGACTGTATCTCAAGAGGCGCTTGAGAGGTAACATAAAGAGTTTTTTTTTTTTTTACTCTTCTCCCCAGTCCATTTCTATCTCTCTTTCCTTTGGTGACATGTGCAAAGTTTCTTATAATTTGATCCTTTTCGTTACTGTTGTTAATGTTTTCCTTTCATTTTTTCAAGATCTAGCCAGTTGGCGCCGCGGGAATAATTTTTTGTAGTGTGGTTTTTTTGTGTCCTGGTGCTATTTTTTAATGTCATTGAAGCGTGATTGAGATATTCAGAGCGCTTGCATATTACGGCACTTGTCCAAGCATTTGTGGGAATGCCCAACAAACCCTTTAAAATCACTCAGTCCCAAGCTATTAGAAGTCTCACTGATTCTAGTCATCAGTGTCTCAGTTTTTAGTAATTTGTTTCGTTTGACTTTACTCTTAACCACTGACCAAAACTGTTCAATTGGATTGAGCTCAGGAGAATATGTAGGCAAATAAGCACAACGGTAACCGTGAGATTCTATATATTTGGTTATATCAACCGATGTATGGATTGGAGCATTATCCATCACGAGGTAATAGCCTTTCATATGTGGATACTGGTCCATTTCATCCATCGTGGCTTTTAGAAATCTAACATAGTGTCCCGTAACTGTCCCTTTGTTCACATGCCTAATGCCTTCACCTCGCTTTCTTTTTTTATTGGGTGGGGGTTGAGGAAGTCTAAAGCTGCATTTAATTAGATCTTGAGTAGAAATCGCGCCTAAAATGGTTGTTGTTTTTGCTCGTGCTTTAGGAACGGTGACCACTGCAGGGAAGCCTTTTTTTGACCATGCCATACTACCTTTTAAATTAATATGAAACGCAGATTCATCAAGAAAGACGCAGTTAGTCGTAAAATCCATATCTGTTTTTTTTTTTTTCCATTTACGAATCCAATCCAGGCGCTCTTGGATCTTTTCCTCGCTGTTTCGGTCAATGGGTTGGAATCGAGCTTTTTTGAGTGACAAGTTGCAATGCTTTTTTATAAAATTAAACAAAGCAGTTTTGGATACTTTTAATTCTGTGAATACTCGTCTTAGGTGTTTCATCACATCGTCCAAAATGATTGAAAGATTTTTATTAACGCATCCAAGAAAGCTTTCTTGTGCTCCTCATTGAGAATACATAGACGACCAGTCATTCTCTGCTTCTCAAAGATACAATTAGGATCCCTCTCGTATTGTGCAGCCCATTTTTGTGCTGTACGAACGGGAAACCCAAGCCGTTTTGCTGCAGCAGCAGCAGCACTCAGGCACTTTTCGAACAACAGCTTAAAGAATCTCACTTTGTCCTGATCAGAATAGCGCGTGTAATTTCACTTCATTGATATTTCTCTCATAATAATATCACTACCAGACTTTTTTTGCTTTTCCACTTGCATCACCTCATCATTTTCTCGCTCTCCAGAGGCAGTTGTGCTAAATATTGTGTATGGGAGCTCAGTGTTTCAAGACGTAACTGTTTCTCATCAACAATGCAATCCATTGGTTCAGACCTGTCATATTCATCGACAACAAATCCTTTCCCGTTTTCATAAAAGAATTGAATGTTCATTATGATATAACTTTGTGTGTATTACTAAAAAAAAAAAAAAAAAGGCTGGGCAATTAGGATACTCTTTTATATCCATGATGCCAAGGGTTGGTACTACGAAAATAGTCTTGATAACAGGACACATGATTTATCAGCGACGAACGAATTTACATTTCGTACAGCATGAATTTTGTTCTTGTCATCGAATGAATTCATTTTCCATCAGGGCAAATTTGTTTTTCGTACCTGAATTTTGTTCTCGCCATTGGGTGCATTTATTTTTGACCACAGGCAAATTTAGTTTTACCACACAACCTAACTTTGAAGATCTACTGATGGTAGAGCTACCAGGAGCCTTGGACTTCCATCACATATCACTCAAGCTATTCCGGATCTCACAGTCACTCCCCATTGATACCTTACCAGCCCACTATCCGCGTGGTCCTGCTACGGCATGGCGCGCCTTATAGTTATCTTCCTTCCCACACCAGGTGCATACCGTGCTCTGGAGATATTACCATCGTAAGTTGCCAACACGCCAGCGTCTCCACCAGCTTTGTCCGGATCGACACTTGGGTCCTTACTGTTTTTTATGTGGAGGCGTTGAAGACGATGAGCACTTCTTGTGGTCTTACATGTTCAAAAAAGAAACCTGGTCACGCATTGCAAATCGCTTTTTACAGCCTACTGCGAGACTTGCCTATGAATCCCTGGCCTTAGGTTCGTCTAAACATATACAAGTACTTTCAGGACTACGTGTTGATGGTCAAACAATCATTGCTTGTACGGTCTGGGCTATCTGGCGGTGTCATTGGCGTTTTGCATTTGATGGTCGTACCTTCTGGCCCGATGAAGCTGCTGCACGAGCAACGCAAGCAATCAAGCGAATACATGATGAGAATACCTATAGAGAGCGTCTAAAAACATCTCGCTCAGGTTAACGCAACCTTTATTTTGTTCCGTGCTTCTATGCTCTTTATTATTTTCTTTAATAAGTACAAGCTAACTGGCAGTACTTGAATAAAATATACCATTTTACAAAAAAAAAAAAAATTTAGTTTTACCATGGCTCCCTGTTTTAGGGTTAGTATGTTCTGCCATTGAGTAACTGTTGCTGTAAAACCTTTGACAGTATTTTCATCGTTAAAGCGAGCAGCTTCCACAGTCAAGCACGTCTCTTGTCGTGCCGCTCGAAAGTTTTCTTAAAACGGGGTCTCAATTACTCGTGTTCTCGATTCTGCAGCTCGATATTTACTTGCTACTCATGAATAAGTTTTTGACGAAGTGCTTGATAATTCTGCTCTTATTGTAGTCGAAGGACTGTTTATGTCTGTACAGTCATATTCATCAGATTCGTCAGGGTTGAAGGGCGCTTGGTTATTATTCGCGTTTTTACTCTACTTGAAGAGGCTTAATGGAAAAGGATAGGTTTTGCTTCTCCAGTATAAGATCCTTATTCATTCGGGAAAGCTGAGTATTAGTCGTACAAGAATTATTGCGATCTATTATACATTTACTCGATCCACCCAAAAAAGGAAATAAATTTACGTGTCTCTGATAATTTCCGAATTTAATAAAAAGTAAGATCTGCGCAAGTAGAACAAGTACCACCAAGAACACGACTTGTTAAAGTTCTAGGAATTCTTGAATGGCTGCATAAATGTTACACTGTATATTCAAAAGCCAGTGGATCATTTAATATAAATACTTAAGGTTGAATCAACATTTTATTCATCTCGATATCAAAGCAATTATCTCAAACAACATGAAGTCCCTTTGTCTTTTACTTTTAGTCTATGTTACCTTTATTGTCGCTCAAGTAAAGGCAGGTTACATCAGCATGAAAACTTACAGTCGTGGAACATCCTGTGGACGTAACGTTTGCCCTATACCTTACTGTAAGGTTAGTGTCCGTGATGTTGATGGATGTAGCGGAAATGTTGAATGGGCTAGTGACTGTCGCTTGATCCGTTTTGGTTCCGGTTACAGCAATAAGATTAACAGCAACTGTCGCATCAACATTAATAAAAACAGTCATATCATTGGTGTTTATACTCCTGGAAAGGTTGCCTATGCCGAAATCAAGAGCTGCACATATGCCAAAATATCTAGTGGTGTTGTTGTCGACGGTGGCTGTGATGTAGGCTCCATTTATCATTAAATTGTGCAGATAAATAGCTGTTAATAAATAAGAAGCCTGGATTAGCTGATACAGGCTTCAGTTTTACACATAATTACATTTTTATTGTATAAACTATGATTGCTGACGATACATTAACAATATACTCCCCTTCATTGGATACACTTCTTTAACACGATAACTAATTCCCCTTTCCCTCTTTCTCATAAATGTGCCATTGACGAACTAACTGATTTTCTTGAGCATCCACAATGCAAATGCTGCTGACGATTTGTTATCCATTAGCGCGCAGTTCTTGAAATTGCTTGCTAGAAAATTTAATTGGTATTGATTCTTTGGAGATCATACACGGATTTGTTGCCCGGATTAACAGGAAAATACAATTCATTTGATGGACAAGAAAAAGAATTCTATGAATAGATCAAGTACTCAATACTGGTAATAACAATGCTTTGATTACTCACAAGGTATCTGTCAGTTTTTACAATGATGTCAGAAAATAATCAATCGTCTTCTTCTCTTCTTCTTTTTCTTTATGTATATGTATATCTACACCTCAACCCTCGATATGGGTAAGTCACCCTTTGATTGAGACGAAGAACGCTCGATTGGAAAAAATGCTTCACACAAGGATGCATCAATGGGTATTTAAAAATCAAAAGGACGCTGAGATACTCAGGACCACTTGTTATCAAGTGAAATAAAGAAAAAAAAAAAAATATCATACATTGTCCAGTGGCATAAATTGTTGGAAAGACTGTAGCGCCTTTGTTTATTCATATTGTTTGAACAGTTGCATATCGTTTATTAAGCACTGTTGTCATTTCACTTGGTTCATTAGGAAAGCCTTGAGTTATGCCTATCTCAGCACGAGCCAAAGTTAGTGCAGTTTCTAGTTGCTTATTGACAGTCAACTGCTTATTGAGTTCTTCCTGTAGATGCGCTATTTGTTTATCTTTTTCCTTTGATTCTAATGAGACTCTTTCTAATTGTTGTCTTAGATCAGTAATGGTTCTATGATCTTCAGATATTCTACTAAGGGCAGTCTGTTCATTGTTCGTTAATATGGGTAAATCATTTTCAATCGTCGCTGAGATATCATGGAGGGTGTTTGCATTGACCACAGATGACGATGTTAGGATGAGACGGGTTAGGTGATCAATTCTGATCGGTAAAACGGGGTATTAGATTTTTTTTCCCTTTTTTGTTAAAAAGTGTATACCTTTCTTTTAGCGTCGTGCGGACATTCCTCATTTGTCGTAACTGCTCCTCATGCTCTCTTCGCTCAGCCGCAAGCATAGTTTGAGTCATTTCCTTTTCTTTTCTCAATACCTCTGTCGTTGACTGCAGTTTTGTCTTTAGTTCCGCAATTTCACCTCTGTACTTTTGGAGAAGCGCCTTATCATCCATGATATCATCATTCTTTGCATGAGTCGTGATTCTTTTCACTCTAGATGCAAACTTTAATGTATTAATAGATTCTTCTATGGCACTAGCAGAAGGACTAATAGTACAGATGACTGCTACTTTAGCTAACCCACTTAGGGATGTTTGTAATATTCGCGTCAACTTTGAGTCACGGTAGGGAATATGTGCCGTATTTTTTCCATTTTCTGTTAATTTTGAAATGACGGTACCAAGTGTTAAAAGACTCTTGTTAATATATGCGCCTTCTTTGCGACGTTCTTCATTGGATGCTGCCTTTTCTGAACCAGCCAGATCAATTAAGTTCTACAGTATATATAGTTTTTAATCTTTAATAAATTTAAATATATTTCTACATTTCTTCTTACAAGTTGTGATATCTTGATAGGTTCCTTTGTTAAACCGTTTCTATTTGTGGATAAAGTTCTTCGTCGACCGTTCATCATGGTTATGCTTGTACTATTTCTTTCTTTACTCTCAATGATCATTTGGAATACAGTGTGACTTCTACTGCTATGCAGATTATAATCTGTTGCACTGATATGTCTGTTGGCTGCATATTCCAAATTAGGATACATGCTAGATCACATTCTATACTTTACCTTCTCCTTTTCTGATGATCTTGAAAACATCTTCTGGGGATGTTACCACCTCTTCTGTTAGCGGTGTAACATAGACACCTCTTATTCTGTCCTCATGAATCTTCAAGTTATCATTAGATGGATTGAGAAGATCTTTAATCGTTTCGTTGTATATTTCAATATAGGATATTCTAAGCAAGAATTCTTTTGTAACTGCCTATCATTATTATTGTATTCGAGAGTCAGAAAAACGAGGAGATCGATTGAGTGGAGCATACATTTTTAATAAACTTGAATACATTATCTACAGAGCGAGGAATCACACCTGGTTGTGACTCAGTTCCCATCTAAAAAATAGAGCATGTTACAACATGCTGATGATCATATGAAAGTTGTTACCATTGTCTATTATAATAAATGAGTATCTTTCTATGTCTTTTCTGACTTGAATCTTACATAAGTTTTCCCACTGGCAGTCTGACCATAGGCAAATACAGTAGCTATTTTAAATAACTGTTGTCTTTATATATGCAATTTGTGTCCCTTTTGTTTACACGTACTTACCATGATAACCTTCCATCGCTTGACTTTAAAAGCTTATAAATTTTGCATGTAACCAAAAGGTTGTGTTGACTTACTTTATTATATTTTCAACACTCTTTGAATATAGAGCTTCATTATCACTTCCATACAATACTCTGTCTATTTTATATTTAGATTATAAATAATATAGACTCTATCAATTCAATACCGAATCGAAACTCATGTTGCTTCTTTAGACGTGGGTCGTTGGATCCTATGGTTGAGTCACCTATTATCCAGTAGTTAGCTTGTTCGCTTGAAGTCAACGGTCGACAACGAACTGTCACTTGTATGTTCTCTGAGTTATTATTATTTAATGAAACTGTTCTTCTTCGTCCAGACATGGTTTATTTACAAGTGCAAAAATAGAAAAGAAAAAAAGGAAATTCATGGCAACTTTTTATTCAAATTCGGGATTTTTTTTTATTGTTGCTGTTGTTAAAAATATCACCTTTTTGTTTACAGTGGTTTGAAAATGCAAACAGTTAGAAAAACGTAGTACGAGTAAATTTTGGTGCTTACAAGTGACAGTAACAAAAGACTACTTAATCAGAATATAAACTTTTTTCCTTCTCTTTCTCTCCGTCTGTTTTTACTACAGTTAACTTACAAAAAGCTATATTCGTTAAATATAAATCTTTAAGTGTGTATTATCCTATTTTTAACAAAGACAATTTACTAATAAAAGCTGTCTATATAAAACACAACAGAGTATTAGTTTTTGGTTGTATAAAATTCAATCCGTTTGTCTGAATTTAAAATGCAAATTGGAAGTATCAAATACAATACTTTTGAAAAGTGTTTACTACAGACCTCGTGATCAATACAAGAGAAAGGTCAAGAAAGCTTTCTTTGGGTGATGTTACTGAACCATATTCGAGATCAAAGTGGGGCTAGCGTTACTATTTGCCGAGAAAATAAAATTTCATTTGCCGGTTCCTGTAGATGGACCCAGTTGAGAGCTGTTTTAGGTCTTGTACTAACTGTAAGTCCACCAGGGTCATCGATCTTGCCAATTAGATTGTCAGAATAGATACACAAAATAGTAATGTTAGGTGCAAGCAACTAAAAAAAGGTTTGATTTATTGTAGAATTTACACTGCCCATCCATTTCTCTGACAACTTGTTTCTCTTTGGAAGACAGCAAAAGTTTCATTTCAGCTAAATGACATTTGGTTACTCTCAGTTTTTTCATCTGTTGAAGTGATAAGACGCTTTTATACCTTTATGAGTAACATTATGGCGTACATCATTCAGCCTTTTGTTTCTACTAATGTCGCTGTAAATTCAATAAACAGCAAAACACCGGAGTACTTCACAACACACAGCTCGACCTGCATGGTTGCAAACCAATCTGCGACCCATATTGAACCTGATCCGACCCTTCACTGCTGAGCTATCTGAGATCAGCCTATAGTAGAGCATACACATTCTACTTATTGACAACATTACATATAAATAACAGTCATACATCTATGAAACTCTCTGAACTTCACTTTAATATGCAGCTCCTTAATTTTGTTTGTTATCGACTTTTGCATTTATGAAAAGAGGCAAATACAACAGAAAGTAAAAGCTATATATTAATCATTGAAGCCAGAGATGGCTAAACCATCTACCAGTGCTTCGGCTATTCTTCTGTCGATCCTGTCTCCTTCAACAAAAATGTAGTTTCAGGAAATTACTGGTTTTAGGCACAACAAGCGTTGTATCCATAGGTAGAAGGTCAGTCTTACTGAACAACACGTACAAAGGATTTGTGAGCGTCTGCAGAGAGAGAGACGTAGAGAGGCAGGAAAGACAAACGGAAGTCATCCGCAGGCCATGCTTTTGATGGTGCAAGGCTGGCTGCCTATAGATGGAAAAAGAAATAATTGGCAAGGTAGAGGAGTAAAATTGAGCTTCGAAAAGCTGATGAGATTATGAAGATAGACAAGAAACCAACAAGGGTATCGTTCAGAAGGGGGTAGAAGCCATCAAAATGAAGAGTACCTTGTTAAATAGAAGAATTAAGACGCCGTGGCCACAAGGATACCGCGACAAGCATAATGTGTCAGGACTAACTTTGAGGGGTATGCGATGGGGCAAAAAGGTCGAAGTAAAGGATGGGAACAAAGGTGATTCGCAGGGTATACCAAAATGTTGACCAAATCAAACAGTTTAGAGCAGTAGCTAAACCTCGTATTAATAGTGAGCATTGAATACATGCAATTAGAGATGAAACAGAACTATTTCGCTGAATGGTAATGGATCATAAAGGGTAACCAATGTCACTTCCAAGCACTCCGTGAAATAAGCCATGCTATTGGCTCTCAAAAGTATCTATTTTACAACGTGCAAGCTTATCGTGTCGCTCATACTTAAAATCAAATGTCAGCGTAAAATAAACGTAAAATGGTTGTCTAAGCTTTACATGTAGAAATATACAAATGTCCAAAATCATTCAAAATATGGATGAAAGCACTGTACAGTTGTTTCAACGTCAAAGGACGAGCTTTAAAAATCAAAAAGTGGTTCTTATTTTCTCAAAGGGCGGTTTTTATTCTCTCAAAGGACGGGTTTCTTTTCCTTAAAGTTCGATATCTTTAACAATCTTCATTTAATGAGTGTTGATTTAAATATACTCCTTATTTAAACACTTTTCAAAAACGTTTACAGAATGCTGTACAAACGCATGGAGATGATTGGGAGGTAGTTAGGTCCTCCTTGTCCTCAAACTTACTACGCCTGACTTTGCTCTTAGCTATTTCCCAAAACTGCTCGATTGGGTTGAGCTCTGGAGAATAGGATGAAAGATAAATAGGCTTATAGCCTCTCCTGGATATAAGTTCATCTATTTCTTATCTTTCCAGTCTTGTTCAATCTTTTATTTACGGTTCAGATCTTTTCAAAGCACGGGTTGAAGAATATCGTGAGTATTTTAATTAATGATGGTTTTTATTATGGTTATTGGTTTTGTGGCTATAATGAATGAAAAAAAGGGGGAACGATGAAAGCTCAGGCGCTGGAGCATTGCTTCAAACTATGCCTCATTTCCTTATTGGCCAATCCTTTTTTATTTTGCATAAATACGTAACTCGTTCATCCTTTTTATTCTTTTTTTTTTTGTACAGGTTCATCCATACTTTCATTACAGCAATGTTAACATTGGGACAAGCATCATGTCTGGTGCTAGGTTACAAACTTAGTGATACAAACAGACAAAGAGCAAAGAAGCAGCTTCAAAAATGCGGGCTTGTTGCGATTCATCTTCGTGACCAAGATCCTATGAGACCCACAGCAATTGGTCTGGACGTCTTTGAACGAGACCCGTTCACATTTGTTACATATCCATCAACACCAACTCTTGTGTCAACTGATTTTTTCGCCTGCGATGATAATAATGATGACCAAATTAACTTTGACGTTGACAATAATAAAGACAATAGCAACAACAACGAACATACCGATAGCGATAGCGACTAAAACGACTGTAACAACAGCGACAACGATAACCATGACAATAACAATAGCAATAACTATAGCAGCGACAGTAATCACGACAATAGCAATAGAAACGACCATGATACAACAAACGTGAACAACGACAACAAAAATAACCACGGTAGCAAAAGCCTTGCTGGAGAAAAACGGAAATTAGACGGAAATATTGTGCCATTTTGCAAGGATAGATTGCTACACATAATGAAATCGATAGCAACTAGTGATAATCCATCCAACGCTGAATGCTACAATTATGAATTCATCACAACCGAAACCCAATACGAATTGATGGAAGAATTCTTCCCGAATCTTCAGCAGTACTGTACGATAGACCGACTACAATACTGGGTTGGTCAATCAAATATCTGGGGACCACGCAAAAGAATGACAACGAATGGTCAAACGAACTACGGTCGCCATTTGTGGATTGTATGCAAGGAGATGAAGGAATTCTTGGTCGAATCGACAGATTCAATTTCAGCATATTGGGACCATCTCAAGAACGAGGTTGATTTTATCACTATTGGTTATGCCAGAAAATCTCCAACCAAAGAAAGTGATGCATCGAGAACGCGACTTCTGCAGCTCATGATTGACAAGCTGTATTTTCGAATGAAGTGTGAAGAAGTATACGTCAGTCCGTGCTGCTTTGCCAATGAACCGATTTTGGAACGCGATTCCCCTACACCAGATCACTTGCTTTCAGTCATCAAAGGCTGCAATGGTGGCATTACAGATTTGACGAAGCGCATCCATTACACTCAAAAACATATACGTCTGGCTATTATTGACTATGCTGGCCTTTCCACATCTCCGAGTGACATTCGAAAATTTCTCGACACATATCCCAATATCAAAGAAATTGCCATTGACCATGGTAAATCAATTGAAATTCTGGCTCAACATCAACTATTGGAGAGAAACGATGCTGAAAAATTCAATTGTCGCCCTAGTCCTGTTCAGCGATCAAAGTAAAAAATACATTTGTTTGGCAGTCTTCATCTTTCAATCCACGCATAATTTTTTAGTCGTGCTTTAACAAAAGGAGGAAGGGCGTATATTATATCCAGAGCGTAAGCGATGAGTATAACTTAAAATAAAGTATATATATAAAACAAAAACAATAAAGACAGCTATGTAATCAGACTTGCTGACGGTTAAAGATCTTTCAAATTTAAAACTATTGTTTTTATTGAGACAAGGACTATTTGTTTTTTGACGGTTGAGCTTTATCGAATGAAATACTAATTTCATTCACTGAGTAAATCTAGAGAAATCTATTGGGGATATAAATATCAACCGATAAATCAATCAAGTACCTCGCAGATTATCCTATAAGATCTCCCTATTCATTCAAATAATGACCTGATATTTATAATGATGAATCGACACCAATAAGATGTTCTACTCTAACATCTTATATTTATATACTGATTATACAATCATTATGGGTCTGTATATGACATTAACCCAACATAGATTAGAGTTTCACGATATAATAAAAGACTAAAGGAATATTTGAATAGAACATAAAAACCTCAAAAAAGGTTGAAAAGAGTGAACAAGATTGAGCAAGTCTGTTGTATACAGACCTTCAGTATAGACATACACTTTACAATGAATTAATAATCACGGTTAAAGTACTGTATTTTTATTAATTATTGACGTTAATTTTATAAAACATTGTCGTAAAATAAAAAAATTATTTACGTAAAAAGATGACAAAGAAAAATATGTTTGAATAAAACTATATCATGTCAAAAGAAAAAGAGATAATGAGTATATGTAGAAAAAGAGAGAAAAAGTATGTTAGTATTAGAGCACACATTCTAATATTAGTTTTACTTACCACCAAGGTGCATTCTGAGGAGGGTAGCGATAACTACTCAGGATAGTTTAAACAAAAAAATAAAGAACGGAGGACAGAAAGAACCCAGAGCGTCAGAAGAGACTATTGGGGAACGTTCCAGATACACGCCAGAGAGCAAAGAGGGCAGAGCAAGGACCATGAGGCATTATTTTTTGGAAATACAGTATATCCGTGGATGTCAAGGCTGATACTAGGAAAATATTCTTGGCGACGACGAATTTACATTTCGTACAGCATGAATATTGCTCTTACCATTGGATGCATTTATTTTCGATCACAGGCGAATTACTTCCTGGAAAAAGCAATGGGTTGCTGCAAGCTCCTATTTCAAGTAGTAGACATGCTGGATTTCTCTGTTAACTGGGAGGCAATGAATATATCGGTGGTCTTAGAGATTCCGGTTTCGCGGATATACCTCGATTTGCCGACTTGGAACGGTCGTGGTCGCCGAACAAACTGGGACCAACTGCGGATGAAGGATATCTTCGAATATAGTCCAATTCACAACTGTTTGAGACAAAGAACTTACTTGTCAAACACAAGGTTTAAACATCGAGTAAGCCGATTCCATTCTTGGTTAGCAGATGGCCAGAGCCCAGTGCACTCCTCCATTGCAACTTTGTTCACACCGCACAACCTCAGACCAGACAGCCAACTCCAGTATACGCTATATCGAATGCCTCAACCTAACTTCGAAGATCTACTGACGGTAGAGCTACCAGGAGCCTTGGACTTCCATCATATATCACTCAAGTTATTCCGGATCTCACAGTTACTCCCCATTGATGCCTTACCAGCCCACTATCCGCGTGGTCCGGCTACGGCATGGCGCGCCTTATAGTTATCTTCCTTCCCACACCAGGCGCACACCGTGCTCTGGAGATGTTACCATCGTAAGTTGCCAACACGCCAGCGTCTCCACCAGCTTTGTCCGGATCGACACTTGGGTCCTTACTGTTTTTTATGTGGAGGCGTTGAAGACGATGAGCACTTCTTGTGGTCTTACATGTTCAAAAAAGAAACCTGGTCACGCATTGCAAATCGCTTTTTGCAGCCTACTGCGAGACTTGCCTATGAATCCCTGGCCTTAGGTTCGTCTAAACATATACAAGTACTTTCAGGACTACGTGTTGATGGTCAAACAATCATTGCTTGTACGGTCTGGGCTATCTGGCGGTGTCATTGGCGTTTTGCATTTGATGGTCGTACCTTCTGGCCCGATGAAGCTGCTGCACGAGCAACGCAAGCAATCAAGCGAATAATTTTTAGTTCAATCTCGTCATAAAATTATTATCTATCAATTGTTTATCTGTTTATAACGCGTGAGCCTGATTTAACAAGGTCTAAAAAAATTGAACAAGGCTGGAAAGATTGAATAAGTCTAAAAAAGATTGAACAAGTCTAAAAAAGATTGAACGAGGCTGGAAAGATGAGAAATAGATGAACTTATATCCAGGAGAGGCTATAAGCCTATTTATCTTCCATCCTATTCTCCAGAGCTCAACCCAATCGAGCAGTTTTGGGAAATAGCTAAGAGCAAAGTCAGGCGTAGTAAGCTTGAGGACAAGGAGGACCTAACTACCTCCCAATCATCTCCATGCGTTTGTACAGCATTCTGTAAACGTTTTTGAAAAGTGTTTAAATAAGGAGTATATTTAAATCAACACTCATTAAATGAAGATTGTTAAAGATATCGAACTTTAAGGAAAAGAAACCCGTCCTTTGAGAGAATAAAAACCGCCCTTTGAGAAAATAAGAACCACTTTTTGATTTTTAAAGCTCGTCCTTTGACGTTGGAACAACTGTACTCAAAATGGCTTTACATAAAAAGAAGTCGGATTTTTATCCAATCATCAGTCGTATCTTTATCAAAAAACTGATAAAGATGGTCGGAGTCAATGATAACCAATCATACTGATATTCATGATTGATGTTTTGGAAATGTGATATTGTGCAAAGAGAAGAAAAGAATGGCAAACATGGGCATTGATTTGGTTTTGATATTACAATTATTCTACTTTATCTCTTAAAACGGTCTCTCATCTTTTCTGTTAATAAAGGAGTAATAATAAGTGATAGTGTGCGCGGGTAATTGAGTCTCTTTTTAGCGTCCAACTTTATTACAACCATTCTACAGTGTATCCATAGTCAAATTCCCCCTCTTTTTTCTTTCCTTTTCAAAGCTCTCTCTTCCAAGGGATTCAGTTTTGGTACCTTTATTGTGTATGAAAGATACAAATATATGTCTTGAACTGATCCAATCAAATAAAAATTAGAATTAATGACGCAATCTACACAGAGTTTGATACAATTTGGTACAACATCGTTTATTCTTGCAGAAGATTGGGATCCTTTTCAACAACTAGAGCACGTAACCATTTGGCTTCCTTTTCAAGATCCTTGACTTTGTTCTCGAGTTGTTCAACGTATTCTGTCAATTCTTTTGCTTTCTTCTCAAGCGCTTGTTCTCTAAGCTTCTTCTTCATACGGAATCGAGCAGAAGCTGCTGTATTTCTTCGTCTTTTATCTTCTTCTGCACTAATTGGCTCTTTAGACTCTTTCTCAGTCTTGATCAACTTTTTAGTCATCGCATTATCTATGGGTTTGATGCCCAATGGATGCATAGCTGGTGCAAGTCGAGGAAGAATGGCTGGCATATTGTTTTGAGATGGAGCAGGCGCAATGTTGTAATACAAGTTACCATTGCTACTGTTGTTGGTGTTGTTATTTTTACTATCAATTGAAGTTGAAGGCTGAACTGTTGTTCATAAACAAAAAAAGATGAGCAAGAATAAGCATTGACTTGAATTACTTTTTTTTTTTTTACCGAGTTGAGCAATCTCTTTAAATGTCTCTAAAAGTTGCGTCTCTTCTTTTGCCTTTTCATCATCAACGATGGCCGAACCAGGCGCAGTATCAAAACTGAATTGAGCATTAGCCCAAAGAGCTAATTCCTCTTGAAATGCATCATCATTTATTTCAGTAGGCGTATCTGCATAAAGCAGATTCAAATTAGAAATATAAGACATAGCTCAAAAGAGAAAAAAGAAAAAAAAAAAAGAGCGTAAATCAGATCTTTAAATCCAAATCAAGAAAACCCTGATCAATTTTAACCTCAGTTGTGCCCTTTCTTTTCTTTTTGTCGAGCATAAAGAATGATAAGAACTTGATATTTTAAATAATAATGATCTAATCCCTCTTCAAGGTCACGCACAAGGGTATTGACTCAGTAATATAATCCCTTACTGTGGCGATGGTTCATTATGACATAAAGATACTATTGCTTATTAATATTCTTCGCATACTTGACAGATACAGTCACTCCTTTCCATTTTTGTTACTTGATCTACTTGGTTATGCATTGTAAATGACTTTCTACAGTAAAGCCACAAATAAAATAAAAAAAAGGCAAGTATTTTGAAATGACCATTGTTTATATATAAACATAAAATCTCTCCTTAAAGGTATGCATGAATTGGAGTGACTTTAGTGTCCTCTTCTTTTTGTCAAGTATAAAAAAATATGAAATCTACACACACATACAGCTATCAGCAGCAAAAAACAGAAAAACAGGAGACTATTAATAGTGTAGGGCAAATCTATGTATTTAGAAAAGGAAAAGAGAGGGCATATAATGTATTTATTATTAGTACTGTTGTTGTAAAGGCTTTGCGCTTGTTTGTGACATTTGTATAGATTTCACACTATCTTCATCCTCTTGTTGACTTGGATGCATCTTGGTATCTTCAAGTGAATCAAAGTTGAACTTGACTTGCTTGTCAAGGTGCCCTGGATCAGGCGCTTCAAAGGTAAGCTCGGCAGACATATGATCACCCGTGTAAACAGTTTTATTTCTGCCTTGATCACGTCCTTTGGAAGAAGAGTTGTTGTTGGTTACCTAACAGATAGGAAAGGGGAGTTAATAACAATAGCAAGGAGAGGGGGAAAAAATGTATCATAGTTACCCAGTGCACAGTGACAACATTCACTGTTACATCCACAGTGCACATTGTTAAACAAACCAGGCCTCGCTCGTGACCTTTGGTGATCACTACAACCAACACATTAAAAAATGAAATCAGCAGACTCACAATAGATGCGACAAGTGTTCGTCGAGCTAATTTATATAGCCTTGACTTCTTCCAATTTGCTCTTGACGTCATTCCTACATTCATAAGGGGTGACATAAACAGCCAAGTCAAGTAGAAATTGAGCAACTAATAAAAGGTCAGTCAAAAGCTTGGAGTTGTAGAACAATATAATTAACTTACAAAGTCATAAACCTATTTTTAAAAAAGAATCATTAATTAACTATTACTGCTGTAGAAACATTTTTTCGTTACAAGTAATGGAACACTAGCAATCAACTGTAATCCAATGGTGCATGTACCATCTGGTTCTAAATAGATATTTCTGTAACTCAGCTAAGGAGAGAGAGAAAATATCGTGTGAGGACTATCAAACGCACAGACGATTTTTTTTTTTACCATCAATGCAAGAATAATACCATATGGACAAAGCATCAAGAGATGAACTCTATATTGACATGTTCTCAATCGTGATGTTTTGACAGCAGTAACAAGATGAATACGCTCAATTAGCCAACCATAAATAACAATTTTACTACCAGCGTAAAAGATATCACACAAGAGCATACCGAGAGTACATGAGACCATGTTGTCTATAAGAATAGGGTCAATGGTTTGCCTCCCCCTCTTCATATTTCCCCTTACTATTATTTGTAGATACAACCACAGCTGAAGTAGCAGCAAATGCCCATGAGAGGGTATAAAGGAGGATAACCATAAAACGACCATAATTAAGTGTCTTTATTTTTTCACCAAATGTCTTTGAACCCAAAGCAGTGGCCAAGACAGAAATACATGTCAGAGAGATAAATTCAGAGATGATTTCAAGTTTATCAGGGCCAACAACACCCAAATCAATCTGTACAACTTCTGGCATAGTTTGAACAAAAAGAAAAAGAAATAAGATGAATGTTATTTTTTTCTCAAGCTTTATATAAAAAGTTGTATAAACAAGTTCAAAGTTTATCTTCCACAAAAGCTCCCTGTCGACACTTTTCTTTATTTGGTTTGACCGTTAAAAAAAGTTTAGGGAGAGAACGTAGCCTTTATCGATCGATGGGATACACACACAAGGTTCTGTAACTCCCTCTTTTAAGTGCGTGTATGTGTTTAGACCATGTGTTTTATTATATAATTCAGAAAGAAAAAAAAATAAGGAGGAAGAAACTATTTCTTCTTGGATGCTGCCTTCTTTTCTTGTTCTTCCATCTTCAATAATTCTTCTTCAGCTTTCTTTGCTTCTCTTAAACGTCTTTCATGTTCCTTTGCTTCCTGTTCTTTTGCTTCTTTTGCTTCCCTTTCTTCTTCACGCTTCTTACGAGCCGTTTCCTTTTCTAACATAACCTTCATTTCCTGTTGTAGTTGTTTCTGCTTTTCGTGTTCGAGCATCTGTGCAGCAGTTGAGAATATGGTTTGTCCCCAGTTCTCCTTGAATGTATTTGCTTCCATTGCAATTTCCTGAAGTTCCGCTGTGATCTCTTGTTCAGCAGCACTGAATTCGCGCCAAAGTTCGTCTCCTATGCTACCTGTCTTCATCAGCTGTTGTAAAGCTGGTTTTTCTTGTTGAATCTGGACTAGGCGACGCACAGCTTCCATCGCACGACGTAAGAGAGCTGTTCTCAAGTGGAATTCTGGAACTGCAGGTTCAGCATTTAATAAAGCAATATATTCTTCCTTTTGTCTGTTCAAAGGGAACCATGATTCGACAGTTTGTGTAGCTTTTTGTAGATTAGTTTTTTATATTCTAACGAGGATGTTCAACATACCGGTTGCTCTACGATAGACATAGGAGAACGCGCTCATGGCAGCGATACATCCACCAAGATAGACGGTAGGTAATAATAAGGAACTCATTAGTAAAGAAAGAGAGAGAAAAAACAAGTTTGAAAATTTAATAAATGACTTTCAAAAAGTGATGTAGAAGGATGTGATTGGTTTATATTTATTGATAAAGTGTTCTAATCCCCCTTAGCATTCACCAAGCAACCATTCGACAATAGCCGTCTCTTCTTGCTCATCCCATTCATCGTCTTGAAGGAACCACTCTTCATCGCCATCAATTAAGCCTTGTTCTTCTTCTCTTTTCTCTACAGACTCTTTCTTGATAGGCTCTGTCTGAACGGCAACATCAATACCCTTTGTGCGAGTGCCAGGACGAAGCGATGTTGACTTTCGTTCAATAGCAGAGGGATCCTGTTGAAGGTAAAGGAATCGTTCTCTTCTGGGTAGGCTTGAAACTCTCTGATGCGCGCCATCGTCCAGCGAAGAGGCACGTTCAAACTTTAAGACCTTGTCCAGCACCGCATTACTGATCACTCCTTCTTTTTCCTGTTGCATTTCCTGAAGCTGTTGTTGACGCATCTGTCGGAGCATGGAGCGACGTTGAGCAGCAGGGGGGATCAATGGTTGTTCTTCCGATTTCAAGATATCGTCCCACTGCTTAATGGATACACTCACTGACCCTCTTTGACCAACCTCATGATTGTATTTTTCAGTTGCATAGTTCTCATGAAGTGATCGACGTCGAATGTTGCCGATCATAGAGGCTCTTTTAGCAACAATACTCGAAGGTCTTTCCGGCATATGTTTCTTCTTTTCTTCTTCGGTATTTAGAAACTGCACTTGCTTTGTCTCGGGGGTTTCTTCTGGTCTATTATTATCCGTTGGCTTGGCTTCTTGAGTCTCCATTGACTTTTTTCGTCGTAGACTTTCTCTACTCTTTCGACTGCTAAGACTACTTCTTCGCATGACAATGCCTGAGGTATTGATGGTATTTGACCTTGTGGATTTTGGTATCATGCCTGTGTTATCCTGGATATTGATCACCGCAGACTGTTTGGCGTGCTCGTCATCATGAGGAGACGAGACAACAGGTCCGGGAGCAAGACTGGGTAAAGAAGAGTTGCTGGACGAAATGGAATCCGAACTGCTTGAAGAAGGCAAGGTTGTCGTACTGGCTGGCTTTGTCTGCGAGTTTGGAGGAGTGGGTAGTTTTGGAAGAGGGGTTAGTTTTCCACTTGATGTGTTGTTGACAGACATGGCAGAAAGAGGCGTCAGTGGCTTTTTGGTTACAGGAGCAACCTCAATGGTGGCAGGTACACTAGTGGTAGTAGTGGTGGTGGTAGTAGTGGTAGTAGTAGCAGCAGCAGCACCAGAGGCGGGCACACTACTAGTAGATGCTGATTTGGGTGGCTTTGGAGCCTCCCTTGGATTCTCGAACCGATTGAGATCATTGACAGTGAAACTCTTTTTGCCCAAGGGTGATGCAGGTCCCTTGGGTATCATTCTCGGCACATCTATGGTTTTGTGGTCAAGGACAATGTTGCTTGATTTTTTAGACGTTTGCTGAGACAGATTGGAAGAAGTAGACAGTCTTGGAGAAGACATGGATCGACGTTCCCATGTGAGGGAAGGTTCCTCATCCTTTGTTTGATCTTTGATTTCAATTGACCTTAATCGATTCGGTGTCAGGGATACTTTGACTGTTCCACCTGATTTTACGAGATCATCAAAGTTCATGTTTGGAATATTATCTGGATCGTAAATAGAAGCTACAGGTGATTCAGCACGAGAAGGTAAATCGAAGCTACTGAATGAGTTTCTATTGTTCTTGAACACATGAAATGTTGATTTTCTGCTAGTATTTGAATGGTGGGACATGACTGAATGAGGCCTTGCCATCGAACTGAAGCTGGTTGTGGTCGTATTTATATTACTTTTGGGTAAGTTGTCGTCAAAGTAATCCAAGTCGATGTCATCATCAAAGTCTAGTACTGAGCCTGTTTCATCTAGTGTAACACTCTTTAATTTATGTCATTGCTATATATTCTTAAACTTACTTTCATGTGTTGTACTATGGAAACTTTTTCTAGGATTGTTATTATTATTATTTTCAGTAAGAGGAGGAGTGGGTAAATAAGATACTCCTCTCAGTTTATTAGCTAAGCCTGCTCTTTTCTAATCCATAGAGCGAGAGATATTAGTTGACATATATATGATATATATATATATATATATATATATCTACCTCCATTCTGTCCTTCAGGCTCATCTTATTAAATACACTTCCCAATTGAATATCGTCTACCAATGCCAAATAAACCTCTTTTACCCTAACATAGTCTGTATCTTCATGCTCTGCAGACATGGCAACTGCAGTTAATAAATATTCAGCAATATGTTCCATGACAGTTGTGACATAAATAGCAACGATAGGAGAAATGATAATTGTATTCTGACTTGATCTCTTTTGTATTGATTTTTGTACATAGAGCTGATCTTCTTTATCAGCCAAAGTGCAGTATTCAAAGCATTTCTCTCTTAGCAATCGAATAGCTTCATCCACTGGAAATTTATCTTTTTCAATCTTTCGCATACGTTCATACAATTCATAGTCAATAGATTCAGTTTCTGTAAATGTTTTGACTTCTAATTCGGCTTCAACAATAGCATTTTTACCGAGTGTGGACGGTAACAAGTTGAACACGGTTGATTTTATCTCTGACAGGTCCAACGAAAGTGAACATCCAACCAAGAGTACAATGAATTCATCCAAAAATTGATTGATAGCTTGTAAGGCATCTGTCGAAACCCGAAAAGGTCCAATCTCTGAGATGATGGCATTAGCTGCCCTTTGACAAATGTAGTGCTCATCTTGTATGTAAGGGTTATTATTTATATTTATGCATATGTCTAACTTTATATAATTTTACCTAATGCCATTTATTATTATTGTTGCTATTATTATTTACTATTATAATTATTATATTGTATATAAAGGAGGGTAAAGGGGTGGGGATAAGACTTAAAGGGTGAATTAATGAGAGAAACACGAGGGGAGGAGACCTGTATTAATGAATTCGCCGTTTAAATAAAGTAACACAGTAACTTATATGTATTGATCAATTTACTGCAGACTTTCCTCCCCCCCCCACTTCCCACCTCTCCTTTCCTCCCCCGCACTTTCCTTCTCCTCTCAAGACAATTCAGAAATACTTTAAAGGGGAGGGGGGGAAGATGTGGTACATGGCAGATAAATTGCATATTTTAAACCTCATCACGTGATCCATGTGACGATATCGACTCCTCTTTTGTTTTGGTTTCTTTTTTTTTTCTTTTTTTCCTTTTATCAATCAATATGCAGCATAAAATACAAAAGACAGCATTTCAAACACATGAGCAAACAGAAAAACTGCGTGATTTATTACAAGCAACAGCTATCGAAACTATTTTACTTGATGCTTGTGCAAGGAAATCACCTCAAGAAGGTATATAGAATAAAAGCATGTATTGACAGTTTTTTTTAATCATTTAAACAGTTCAAGACATTCTAGAAGCTTTACCACAATTAAACCCAGATACCATTAGAGATAACAATTTGAGAACGCCTTTGCATTTAGCTTGTAGTCGAAAGGATGATCCTAAGGCTGCGACAGAGATAGCACAGTTATTGATACGTGCTGGATCAGATGTAAATAATGGAGTAGGAGATATAGATGGACTACAACCTATGCATATGGGTAAATAAATACATATTGACATTGTATATGTAATTATCAATGGATAATAATGGTATATATGCGTATATGTATATATATATAGCGGTATTAGCATGTAATCCTCAATGTGTCTTGATGTTGTTACATGAAGGTTGGTATGTTTAACACGTCTAAACTACGCACTCAAAAAAAAGAGTTTCTTATCTATTTATTATGTATAGGAGCCAATATACCAGCATCAGATCCATTTCGTCTGACACCACTACTATTGGCAAAACTAAAGATGGATAATTTGTTACAACATAGGAGATCAACTGATAATAAAGAATGGGTCTCTGAATGTGCAAAGCAAGAATACACCGATTTACTGTCGGCAAGTAAACTTTCATTGTTGTTTGATGGCTCATGGACTCATTTTATTATAGATCACTCAAGTGTTAGTGACTCACTTGGCAAACAAACATTCATCATTTGCTTCTTCTCTTATAGAACCTCGTAACCATGGAATATCGGATAGTCTACTTTTATCAGAAAAGAATGACCTGAACGAAACCATTGCGGCTATTACTGATAAACTAGCCTTGATTGACGTCTCAGAGACAACGAACCTTCAAGAATCAGTAAATGGTTTAATAGAAAAAGTAAAGCAACTGAGCATTCAGTCTTATGTTTGATCCTTCCCCAAGGAAAAAAGGAAAACACAAGTAATAAATTTCCCTTTTTTTTGCCTTTTTTATTTACTAAATGACAAAGTCGTTTTCTGTGTTATCGCTTAACTGTTGGTAAAACTTAAAGGCAAAATATAGTAAAATAAACTCATTTTCAAAAGGGGTCTTTATATTGTATCAAAGCAACGTCAATTAAGACTACGTGCCATTGCTCATGCTATAGATGAAGGAGATTATGACGTGATTGCATTACAAGAAGTGTGGATGTTGCAAGATTATGAATACATAAAACAGACTGTGTCTCCCAAGATCAAATATGCAGAGTATTTCTACAGTGGCGCGCTTGGTAGTGGGCTAGCCATATTCTCACGCTATCCGATCCTTTCTTCCACTTTTACAAGATTTGCTTTGGCTGGTAGACCATTGCGTGTATTGGAAGGTGATTACTATGTCGGAAAGGGCTGTGCTTCTGTTTGTGTGAGAGTACCAGAGATAGGTCTAGTTGATGTCTACACTACACATGTATGTAAATATGTATGTCATATTCAATCACATGTTTGATTATTTTTGTGATAGTTACAAGCAGCATATGGCGATAAAGATGATTATGAGGCCCAACGGATAACTGAATGCTGGCAGATTGCAAATGCAGTGAGAGCCTCCGTAGCTCAAAACCGACATGTTATCCTGGTAAAAACAAGATATATCTATATACTATCACAATCATTACTTATATGAAAACAGACTGGCGACTTCAACAGTATACCATCCAGTCTTTGTTACAAGATTATCAAACTACACGGTTTAATGACAGATTCATGGATGCAGCTGCATGAAGACACCTTAAAGGATGCACAGGTTCGGTTTGAGAGACATGAATTGAGTGCTTCCGAATGTATTCAGCATTTTGGTATCACTTGTGATTCGCCCCTGAATACATGGACAAAGCGTGTGTTGAAACAACATCCTTTTGCAAAAGACATTGGAGATAGGCTAGATTATATATTTTATAGTGCATCGTCTCACTTGCAGTGCATACAATCAAAGGTGGTCATGGAAGGATATATACCCAACACTCAATGGAGTTTCTCTGACCATTTTGCTGTACACTCGCTATTCACTATCAACAATACCAACCAGGATCATAGTCCTTTCAATACTGGTCAAGGTCATACCTTACCTAATTATACTTGTCTCATGCCATCTACCTTTCATGACATTTTGGATGTCATACAGTTTGATATCACAAGATCAGCACGGTCCTCTAAAAGACTACTTGTCTTTCTTGGATTCTGTCTTATTGCTGTCTTAGCACTCTTTATAGTTCAAGTGGTCTTATCGAGTACATATTCAACAACAGATAGAGCGAACTTTATCATAAGCTCGATCATTATATATCTGTTCATCTTTTTGTTTTCAATAGTTGGAACTATTGCACTTATCGTTGGCTTCGTATTTGGAAAGACAGAACAGAGGTCCCTCATGCAGTACGCAAGAGATATTTCAAATTGTTTGAGACATGTAGAAACATAATAAACCTCTTTATTTTTTCAGTTCATGCATCTAATTCAGTTTTTATCTTTTCTTGAATGATTTCCATACATGACATACTTCTTGCTAATAACTCGTTCAAATCATTCAAATAGTTTTCATATTCCTGTTTAGTGTACTCGTCTTCGTCCACTTCATCCATATCTGTTGTATTGATGGCTAGTGATAATTTCGCAATCACCTTCTTTTCTTCTTTCAAACAATTTTCCAAATCTTTAATCTGTGCTCTATGGAATTTGATAAATCGTCGTACCCTTTCAACATCTATCCTCAGGCTACTGCTATTAGCATTATTATTGTTCATTGCATCTTTATGTTCCTCTAGCGCATCTGGAAAGTGCATGCTTTTATCCTCTTGCATGAAGTCCAACGGCTTGGAGTCAAATGGATCTGTTAATCTGGACAGAAACAATTCAGCAGGTGGTGACTCCAACCGCTTCATAAACTGCTCCTGTCGTTCCTCTCTTAGGCTGTAAAATCGATTATTTGTAGGCGTATTTAGAGCATTCGTAGTAACCTCGACTGGAAAATCAACATCAAATAAATTTTCAACCTTATCTTCTTCGTCTATGACACATGAGTTTGTAACGCTTTGAGATTCTTCTAATGCATCATCATAGTCTTCTTCCATTGCATCTTCAAATGTTATAGTAGTAGACTCTTCTTCGGCCACTTCAACTGTGCTATTTTCATTTTTAACATGGCTGTTGATATTGCTATAGAAATCAGGCGCTAAGCGTGGATCAGACTCTCCTTTGAATTGTTTTACTCTACATGATGGAAAATTAGTACATATCTCTTTGTATTTTTTATATACACACATACCTATCTGCATAGCGTAATGTATTAAGGGTATGTTCTGCATTAGAGCTATTGGGGGATATGGTGGCAATCATACAGGTTCTTGCATTCCCAATAAAACAATCACGCAAAACCTAAATAATGGGTCAGCTTTATATTTACTCTGAAAAAACTCCTTTTTTACCTGTGTTAATTTACTCCCTCTAAACGGTGTATGCTTTTTGTCTTGGTCCAAAGCACGAATACACTCTTTGAGCGCCAATAAACTCTTGTTTATCTCTGCTCCTTCAAGCCTATATTTATTTTCTTTATCAACAACGATAATATATGAAAAATATTTCTCTTACCTTGTTTTAGGATTTGCATCGCCTCTGTCAACACCCCTTTCACTTCCAGCCAAATCAATGAATGTCAGTTTACCATAGGCTTCTGCAGATCTGTGCTGAGCTCTCAAAATGATCTGAAGTACGGCGTGCGATCTTGACGATTTGTTATTGACACCTGTTCTTCCTGTTGTTCTCCCTTGATTACCGTATTCAAACACTCCCATTAGATCTTCCTTGTTCTTTATCGGATATTCTTTGAGTCCAGCAATGACAACATTGTTATTACCATCGTCTCGTGCTGCTAGTTTATTTCTATTGTTCAACAGATCGTACAGCTGCCCTTGATAAATTTCATAAAAGCCGACGCTTGCTGACAGATGTGAATGATTGGGTTGATTGAGCATTCGAAATATGTCTTGTGCTGCGAGTACGTAAAGTCCATCATTGCTATCCAACATTGTGTATGTCTTTCCTGATCCTGTTTGTCCACTGTATGTGTGTGAGTATCAGATTGAATAGAGATGAAAATACTTACAATGCAAAACATGTGCCATTACCACCTGCAAAGATATATTCAATTAACGGTTGAGCTGTTCTTGCATAAATCTATACAGATAATCAATAAAAAAAATCATCACTTCATGTACAAATGGTTTACCTCTTGGTTCGTCACATGACTGTCAAACGCTTCATCAAACGTGAATGAATGAGTCTCAACAAAACGGCTAAGATCGATACGATTTCTACTTGAGGTTAGCATCATAAAGTATACTTTATTGACTTACTTTTCAGCATGAAGTTCTACTGTACGAGAGCCAACAATGGATGCAATATCAGTCTCATTGGATGCTGTCTCTCTTTTGTTCAATGGCCTTTTTCTTACGCATACACGAATACGTTGCTGCAGTTCATTCATAGGTATTATGTTGAGTGGTGCTTTTGGTTTTGAAATGACTGATGGTTCTGTGCCAAGATATGATGTATCATTTGTATCAAGATCGGACACATGCTGCTGCTTACGTTTCTGACTATAAGGTACGCCATAGGTGTCCAGTAAACGTGTTGTTGGTCGCTCTGTTAGTCTAAGTCGTTTTTCGCCCATGTCATCTGTTGGTTTTGTCTTTGGCTTTGTTGGAGATGTATATACAGTTTTCTTTTGTTGAGTATTGGGATTGCTGCTAGTTGTTGTCGCTGTCGTTGCCGCTGTCATTGTCGTTGTCGTTGTTGTTGTACGTTGTAGATCGTGATTAGATGTACGCAAGACGGTAGACAACCTACGTTCCTTGGCAACGTATTTGGGTGGTGACCGTGGTAACTGCGGGGTTACTGTCAACCGTCGAGCAGGTCTTTCTTCTGGTGTCTTAACTACTGATAATGGTCGTTTCTTTGGTACATGTTCTGTTGTTATTTGTCTTTGGGTATAATAGCCTGACTGTAATCTTTCCTTCATGCTCTGTGACAGTCTCAGGATCTTGTTCTTATCTTCTGTTTTTTCGACTCCTAATCTAGGAAAGTCACTTGAAGAGATCTTTTTTTTTGTTAACAACTGTCTATCAATTCTCTTTCTTAGTGTTCAACATTTTACCTTTGCTAATGCATTAGGATCAATTATTCCTAGATTAAACATTCTTTCATGGTTTGTTAGTATAAAAAATATAAAGTTATTTCTTAATCCATTGATTACCTTAGATAATGCTATTAAAATATCGAAAAAGAAAAAGGTGTTAATTACAGTGAATGTTACAAAAAGATAGACAACAACCTCCTCCAAATCGAATTCTTTTAAAATGTCAAGCAGCAGAATTGCGCCCATATATGTTGATTATTATTTACAATGGCAACAAAAACGAAAAAGAAAGCCACTTCTTTTGCTCCTAAAAATTGTAACGCGTTCACAAAAAAACACCTGTCGGAGCTCAAACCATCCTTGGTAGATTTCCTTAAAAGTGTTTTTTAGTCTGTCAGCCTAGGAAAAAACGGTTTATTATAAGTATGAGCCTTTGTAGATTAATACTATGGTAATTTTTAAGTCATTTTTAGACTAACAGACTAGAAAGTACTTTTTCTAAAAAGAAAATCTACCAGTTCAGGCAAGTATTACTGTCCTTTTTGGTCTTACGTCGGCCTTTTTATTTACTCAAGCCAATAAAATTCGTTCAACAAAAAATCCAGCAATTGCTGCTTTTTTCTTTATAATATATTAAAATGGTTTTAGCAGACTTGGGTCGTAAGATCAACTCGGCCCTTACAGAGTTTACCAAAGCACCTGTTGTCGATGAAAAGGTAATTTATTCTATTTATTTCTTTGGAGAGGGGACTAATGTGTGTTTGCTTTAGGTGTTGGATTCCTTAATCAAAGAAATTTGTGCTGCATTACTTGCTTCCGATGTGAATGTAATGCTTGTGCAAAAGCTTCGTGCAAATATAAAAAAGAATGTTAACCTTGATGAACTTGCCAGCAGTACAAATAAGCGACGACTGATTGAAAAGGTATTTATATAGAAACAACTCGGCTTGAATTCAGTATTGAGCCGTATTCAATAGGCTGTTATGGATGAACTATACCAACTTGTCGATCCACAAGTCGAGCCTTATAAACCCGTGAAACGCAAAAGCAATATATTTATGATGGTCGGTCTTCAAGGTGCGGGTAAAACGACAACATGTACAAAGATCGCAGCATTCTATCAGCGTAAAGGTTGGAAAGTTGCCCTTGTGTGTGCTGATACATTCCGTGCTGGTGCATTTGATCAGTTGAAACAAAATGCGACAAAGGCAAAGATCCCATACTATGGTAGCTATACCGAGACTGACCCAGTGACTATTGCTACTGAGGGTGTAGAAAAGTTCAAGGCAGAAAAATTCGAAATTATCATTGTCGATACCTCAGGAAGACACAAACAAGAGGCCGAATTGTTTGAAGAAATGAAGCAGATTTCTGCTGCAGTGGTATGTGAGGCGGAAGAAGAGATGTGTATGCGATATTGACTTTCTTTTTGTAGAAACCAGATACGACGATCTTTGTCATGGATGGTACCATTGGTCAAGCTGCTGAATCACAAGCTAAAGCATTCAAGGAAGCTGCGGGTTTTGGTTCAATCATTATCACCAAGATGGACGGCCACGCAAAGGGTGGTGGTGCCATTTCTGCGTAAGTATAGTAATTGATGAGAATGTGATGGAGGTACTCATGCCTATATTTATGTTTACAGAGTTGCTGCAACGAAAAGTCCCATTATCTTCCTTGGTGTGGGTGAACATCTTCAGGATATGGATCGTTTTGAGCCTAAATCATTTATAAGAAAGGTGCTTGGTGTACAAGATATGCGTGATGTCATTGAACATGTGCAGGATACTATCAACTTGAATGACAATAAAAAGCTTATGAAGAATATAGAAAAAGGTAAGAGCTTTCTCTTCGTTGATGTACATACGCTAAAACAAATATAGGACAATATTCACTTCGCGACATGTATGAACAATTTCAACAAATAGCAAAGATGGGGCCTCTTTCAAAGGTAATAAGAAAAATCAATTCTTATTTAATCAATATAAACTGAAGAATTAATTAGATCATGGGCGCCATACCCGGTATGCCTACTGAAATGTTAGCAGGAGCAGATCAGGAAGGAGGCAAGAGAATCAAGCGTATGATGTGTATTATGGATAGTATGACAGACGAAGGTAAAAAAAAAAAAAAAAATAACCCATAAGTTTCTCTAAAAATAGTTCAATAGAACTTGATGGTGATGATAAACCCTTCAAGGATATGAAGAGAGTGGTTAGAGTAGCTCGTGGATCGGGTACAACTGTGTGTGAAGTTCAAGAAATCCTGTTTCAATACACAAAGTTTGCAGAGATGGTAAAATCGATTGGAGGCAAAAATGGATTAATGCAGAATATGCAAAATATGAATATGGATCCAAGAAAGATGAATTCGATTGCGGAAATGGCCAAATCCTTTGGCTTAAACGCAAATCAAAAAGACTTGTTAAATGCTGCAAAACAGATGGGAAATATGTTTGGTGGTGGTCGTGGCCGTGGAGGAGGAGGAGGCATGCCAAATATGGCAGATTTGATGAAGGCAATGAAATTTTAATAAAACTATCACCCATTAGATGTAGAATGTCTTATTCTTTCAAAAATATGATGTGTAATTGATCAAGGGAAAACTGCGAGTTCTCTTATATTTAAAACAGCAGCTATATGGCTATAATTTTTGTATAGCTCTATTGTTGCTCTTACTGCAATTCTGATGTTGTCTGCAGATAGTTTTGAGAACTTGAAGCATATCCAGGCTTATACTGTTTGTAGTTCTGGATGAAAGGTTTGTTGTTGATACTATTGTTCGGATATTAGCAGGCTTGATTCCTACTACTCATGTTTGGTTTCATTTTGCTACCACTGACAGAGCAGCTCTGCTCCGCTCTAGTGTAGTGTTTTATCTCTTCCGAGTTTAGTGAAACATTGGAAGTATCACTCATATAGTTGATTTACGCTGCTCCGCTTAGAAAAGGCATCAAGAAGAAAAGAAGAGGTTTATAAAGTAGAAACCCATCAATGATTGTTTAGGATCGACATGAAACCATTTTACTTTTGTACCAATATTTCAAAAAGTGCACGGATAATTTCCGAAAACTGTAAGAAACACCAAATACAAGTTGTGTATTTGCTTAAGATTGAAATTCTTCTTTTTTTTTTCTCTCTCTCTTGAATTCTGTTTTTAACCATGAGAGCTCTCTTGTTATTTAGTAGTTTGATAAGTGGATCTTTAGCACTTATTAGAGACACTGGCGAAGAATGCATAGGTAACATCAATTTTTATGCAGTTATCAATATCTAATCCCTATATAATAGTGGTTACGCCCATCGGTAACACAGTTGTAAAAGCTGGAGAAAAAATGAAAATACAGTGGTACATATAGCAAGTCAACATATAATCACCATACTCATATATACAACAATTAGGTCTCATTCGCATATAGAAGCGTTTGAAAATATCTATCTGACCCAAACGGATGGTGCTCAGAAGTCAGTTATTATCGCATCTAATGTACGAACAGATCAAAGAAAGATCACTGTCGATCTCCCCAGGACACTTCTTCCTTCTAATGCATGTAAAAGATTGGCCAAACTGAGTTTATAAACTAAACTAAGCTCAAAACACGTTTTATTGCTGTAGATCGTTTGACATTAGGTGAGCCACCTCATCACTGTACTGTAGGAAAATTGCGAATCGTAGCAGCAACACCAGGTATGTTTCTTGTTTTATAAGATGAAAATGATCCTTATAATATAGTAATGGGTGATCCAAACAATTCTGAAAACGTTACGACAATGCCTGGAGTTTATCCTAAAGAGGAAGATGGGGCAAGACAGCTAACGAACCATGATGCTATCTTGTTGACTGGTTTATTGGGTATTGTCTATATAGTTTTACAATTCCATTTGATGTGAAATAAACCGTGTGAATCCTTACGATGACATAATCAAAAAAAAAAAAAAGAGAGAGAGAAAGAAACAATAAAGAATTAAAAAAAAAGGGGGAGAGGACTTGATTTCTTTATTTTTGTTAAAAGAACAAACTCGTTTTTGGTACGTTTGATTGTTGAATAGAACCAAAGGAGTTTCAAATTAACTGCTTTTAGTAAGTTCTTGTATCACCAAGCTCTTTACTGTTGTCCTTTTCTGTTTTTTTTATCTGTTTAGAACAAGATCATATCCTTTTGTTTAAATATAATAAAATTATAAACAAAAGGGAGGTATTATAAAAATAAAGTTAAAAGGAGATTTTCTTAATAATTTCCCTTTTTCCTAGTGTCCAAAGCATTTGTGCTACTTTGGCTTTTTTATCCCAAAATATCAAGTTCACGTTTTTTATTATTTCTACTGTTTTCTTTCCTTTTTCTTTTCTCATAAACACATAAAAAAAAAACATTATAAAAAGAGAAAAAAGAAAGGATGACAGACCGTAAGAGTGGTATGGTCCAAGCCTATGGATATCCAACAACACCCAACAACCAGATAGTGTCAAGAGCAGTAGCCGCTGCTGCTGCCAATAGTCATCACTCAGGTAGAGGAAAATCAAGAAACTCAAAGAGATATTCGGTTTCAGCCTTTTATTCTATGGCTGCTGAACAGGATAATGAAGTAGAGGATGAACTGGCTCAAGGTTTGTTGTATTTGATTGTTTTCAGGCAACCGTTTTATTTATTAGTTTTTTTATTTGCAGCACAACGAAGTCTCAGAGAATTAAAGTCGAAAATATCTGCACAATCAAAAAAGAACTTTGTACTGGAGAGAGATGTAAGATATCTTGATTCACGTATTGCACTGCTTATTCAGAATCGCATTGCATTGGATGAGGTAATATAAGGAAGAAACTTGTTATATCTTGTGTTCTCACCCAAGTATAAAATAGCAAAGTGAAATGGCTTCACATCTTGAAGAACATGGATTAGGTGAAAGTGATTGCTTTCCTGACGATCGTAAAATGCAGCAATATGGAAACTTTTTCTTTATTCTTCAAAGTGAACCTAGGCATATCGCTACTCTCTGCAGACTTGTTAGTCTATCAGAGATTGACACACTGTTACAAACAGTCATGTTTACACTCTACGGAAATCAATATGAGAGTAGAGAAGAACATTTACTGCTCACCATGTTTCAGGTAAAATATCCTATTTTATATACATGACGAGAGAGAGTAAAAACTAAACTTTCAAAGTAAAGAATGTACTCGCAGCACAATTTGAGACATCGACCGAATTTGGTTCTTTATTAAGAGCAAATACACCAGTCTCCCGAATGATGACAACCTATACCAGAAGAGGACCAGGCCAATCTTATTTGAAATCAACTCTATCTAAAAAGATATCAGATTTAGTATCTCATCAAGACTTGGATCTTGAGATTAATCCAATCAAAGTTTATGATCAAATGATTATCCAGATTGAAAAAGAACAAGGTTGTTTACCGGCAGATTTACCCAAGAGTGTCACTCCCGAAGTAGCCGCTAGCAATCAAGATGTACAACGCATCATTCAACCCCGTTTGGAAAAATTAATAGAAATTGCTGAAGGGTTTCTTGATATTATACTCTCATCTACTGCTCAAGTGCCTTATGGCATTCGATGGATTTGTAAACAGATTCGTTCACTCACCAGAAGAAAGAGCCCCCATGCGTCAGAAAATTCGGTTTGCTCCATGATTGGCGGATTTTTTTTTCTTCGGTTTATCAATCCTGCCATTGTAACGCCAAGAGCCTATATGTTACTAGACACAGTACCTGGAAATGCACCTAGAAGAACACTCACCTTGGTAAATACAGTAATAAACAATGATTTGCATATATATATATACTGATTTTTCCCTTCATAGGTTGCAAAGATGCTTCAAAATTTAGCGAATAGACCATCTTATGCCAAAGAATCATACATGCTTCCGACCAATCCATTCGTAGAGAGAAACAAGCAAAGAATAAACAAATTCTTGAATGAGTTGTGTGAAGTAGGAGACTTTTACGAAACATTGGAAATGGATCAATATATGGCACTATCCAAGAGAGATATCGTCATCAGTATCACATTGAATGAAATGTACAATACACATGCACTTGTTGAACGACATTTGGATGTTATTGCACCAAAAGAAAAGGATCATTTACGTATCCTGATGACGGAACTTGCACCAGCACCAGCACAGGTGTCACGAAAAGAAAACAAGACGATTGATTTACCCTTATTTAGCCGTTGGGAAGTTCCCATTCAAGGTAAACAAAAAAAAAAAAAAATAGAGAAGAGGCTTCATTAAAGGGTGTTTCCAATAGACCTTACAACGGCACTCATGTCTGAAAATAATATCACACAAAACGATATCCTTTACATGGAGACAAAAGCCATCTATGTTCAACTTATTCGATCTCTTCCTCATTTGGCATCAGGGCCACTTGATTTGGACTATATTGCTGAAGTAGCAGCGACAACAAAAGATGCTCAACTGGTTAGAAAGGGAATAAAAGTAAAGGACATGCTAAAAGAATTAGAAGACGCTGGCGTCATCGACCATAAAGATCACTATAAACTACTTGTAGAAGAAATCACACAGGAATTGACTCATCTTGGAAATCTAAAAGAAAAAGTGTTGCAGGAAATCGAATCGCTTGATGGCGTATACAAGACAATACTCGATCATAACAATTACTTGAGAAGTCAACTGGAGAGCTACAAGGCATATCTGCAGAATGTACGAATTCAGAGTGGAGGAGATAAGAGTTCAAAAGTGGGTATAGGTGTAGAGGTCGAAGGTGGACATAAACCCAAAAAGACACACAAGGGTTCAGCAAAGGGTCCATGCAAGTTCTCTCACAATCATCTCGAAAAGGACGGCGTCATCACAGAAAGCACCGTGCCTGAAAACAGAAGAGCCAACATCTTCTTTTCTATATCGTCTCCTTTGCCGGGAACTTTTATCATTGCAATGCATTTCAAAGGAAGAGAAAAGCCAATTCTTGAAATGGATTTAAAGCTGGACGATTTGCTAGAAAAGGTAAGCTTGTTGTATAAATGTTTTACAATCTTTTTTTCTCAAACTTTTTTATAAAGCAACAAGACAATGTTGAGTTACTCGATCTTGAATATGTTCGCTTAAATGTTAGCAAGACTTTGAGTCTATTAAACAAGAACTTTGTCAATAGAAACAAGTAAATCTTTCAACTACAAAAACAAAAACATATGTGTGTGTGCAAAAGGAATCCAATATTACTATTACCAGCTTAATTACCCTCGTCGCTCTCTAATAAACCCCGTCGCTCTCTAATAAACCCTAATCCCATCCTTTTTTGCTCTTGGACACACATAATATTAATCATTCTTTTTATTAAAAGTAATTTGATTATTATTCTCTTTTTTTCCTTTCCCAAATCTAAGCAAAAGAGTTAGCAATCTCTTCCATACATATTTCAGTTCATTCTTTACCTGAATGTAGCTTTCAGACATGAAGATCATTTGAGGCATCATCTCTTCTACAATCAAATCCTGTATCTGATACCACTGCTCTGTGCCACGATGGCGCACATGTACTTTGTATGAACCCTTTCCTGACTCTGGTCCTCCCTCATGAGATATATTTGCCAATAGATCATAATGAGTTCCCAATGTTTCTTTTTCAGGATCATTCGAGACTATACATCACATCAGTTTTGTTACTTCATACTATCGTTTTTACTTACAGTTGGACATGTCCAGGTGCTTGATTGGAAAGTTAACAATCGTTGGATTCTTTTCGTTTGTCCAATTGTTCTTTGTAAATCGTTTGATATGAAGAATAAGATACTGTGGTAATCGCGTAATGCTGTATCGCTTCAATTCGTTTGACACCTCTTGTACTCTTTTACCATCGAATTTGCTTAGAATGGTCGTCAGAGGTACTTGAGGCACGATGTCTCGTTCACGCTCATCCTGATACAAGGGTACGGGTGGTAAATCTAAAGCGAGGAATAGAAAAGGTGATTCTTGCACTTTGATTGGCTTTCTTGGGTCAAAGTTACTGAGAGCATCCTTTTCAGTAGCTATCCCAGGTTCCTGTGATTCAACCTTGACCTCTCCTTGAAAGTATTTGTAGATGATACCTGTGTACCGTTGAGACTTTAGTGTTTCTATAGGTGGATCTCTAACTTACTGCTATTCCTTTTCTTTGTTCCACCAAGGTCCTTATGAAGCGTGTTCAAGAACCAAGATAGAAAATCAATCGCATTACTTTGTTCGGTTAACTTGAATCGTTTTCGACTTGCATTGGATATTTCTTGTACAAGTTCGTGTGGACTCACTTGCCCTTTGAATGCTCTAGGGTTCCATATCTTTCGAACCAATGTACTAAATCTACAAACTATACAAAATAATTAAATCGACTGTTTCCTTTCCCTCTGTCTGTCTATTACCAAGTTGAGAGGATCCCTTTGATTCAAAGTCTTGCAAGATAAAGTAATCGCGAATAGGGGGAATATGCGCTAATGCTTGTATGATGACATTCACATAGTCATTTGCCTTGATGTTGTTTAACCCCACAAACCCAGGTATGTATTTTTTATTATTGAGATCATACGCAGTCTTTAGGGTATTGTCTAATTCTGCCACTTGTTCTTTTGTTAATATAGGATTCAGTACATACTATCCCAGCGTCAGTTGTGAGTCAATTATATATAGATGTTTAGTTTACCTTGATATCATTTAATGAAGGATCATCTACTTCATAGCCATCGGGCAAAACATAGACCTTTCAAAGTGTTACCAAGGTGCATAATTAATAATAACAATTACCTTGAGCGTAGTTAGATTGATAAACACATGATGGTCTTTATCAATACTATGAAAGTAGGCGTGTGAAGCCTTTCCTCTTCCTTGATAGTATTTACCACACGTCAAGCAAGCATAAACATTAAGATGAGAAAGGGAGACAGAGCAAACCTTTTCAAAATCAAAATCAAGCATGTGTCGATCAATAGTTTCCAAGTATAGATCAGTCGTCTCCTTATCTTTCTTGTTGCCATTACTCTTGGGTGGTGATTCAAGACGTGCTCGTTTTGATTGTGGTTCTTCCATTATTTTTTTTTTTTTTATAAAGAAAAGAGAGGAAAAAGAAGTCGCGGTTTGAACTTGTTCTTTTTCCTATTTTTTTTTTTGATGTTGACAGCTAGTAGTAGTACTAGTGCTAATGATAGTACTAGTACTACTAATAATAGTGATGCTAGTACTACTGTTAGTAATGGTCATAATAGCAATGAACAGGCATATGCTAAGCTCGAAGGAGATAACTTTTGTTACTACATTCGAAACTTTCAAGTAACTTTGGGAAGAACGACAAAAGTGCCAGATCGTGTTGACATTCCTTTAGGGAATGCTAAATCAGTATCAAGACAACATGCTCAGCTATTCTACAACTTTACAACACAGCAATTTGAGATGACTGTATTTGGTAAGAATGGTGTCTTTGTCAATGAGAGATTTATAGAGAAAGGTATTACAGTTCCTCTAGAGCACCGGTAAAATAAATAAAGCAAAACCAAAAAGAATATAGCGCTGATACTTTTCATTAGTGCCAAAATACAAATAGGTGAAGTCTCTTTTCAGTTTTTATTACCTGAAGTAGACTCTATCAAAAAGAGACCATTAGAGATAGAAAGTAAATGCATATCGACTGCACCTCAACAGTTGGAAAAGCCATCTATTTACCATGTTTCCAATCAAAAAGATGCCAACACAAAGCTGCCACTTTCTTATGCTGCCTTGATCACTCAGGCCATTCACTCAACTGAGGATAAAAAGATGACCTTGGAAGGGATATACAATTATGCTACAACAACCTACCCTTATTACAGACAAACGCAGAAAGAATGGCAGGTATTTTAAAAGGTTTCGCTTTCTGTATACACAAAATACCAAGACATATTATAGAGCTCTATTCGTCACCAGCTTTCCTCGAATAAGACGTTTGTTAAACTGCCAAAGAAGGCTACTGAGCCAGGCAAAGGTGTCTATTGGACAACTGTGGATTTGCTAACAGATAAGGAAAATAGAGAAGTAACAGAAAACGTTGTTTCACGGAAACGGATAAAGCTTGAAGTATCAAACAGTAGTAGTAGCAACAATGATGATGATAATAAAATCAGTAGCACCGACTTCAATAGCAACAATAATAACAATAATAATGATAACAAAGAAAGTGAATCGAATGAAAATAACGAAAAGGCGGAACCCAAATCTGCGGAAGATGTGAGTTTGATTGGACTAGATGCGACGCCTGAAACAGCCGATAAAGTGCAAGCAGAGCTACAAAACACCATCCGCCAGCACCTTTTGGATCCTGAGCACTATCCTTTGCCACCTGCACTAGCTCGCTTATTACCGCAGGCCATTGCTCAGCTGCCGCCTCATTTAGCAAATCAACTTTCTTCTACCTTGATATCCTGTACATTAAAACTTCAATCTTCGCCTTCATCATCTTCTTGACATATGTATATTATAAAAAGTTTATTTAAAAGAATAAAATTATTATTTTTACTTTCTATGCTTTTCATACGACTTTACAATATCTTCTAATGACTTTCCTTTTGTTTCGGGCAAGAAAAACAAGGTAAATAAGAACGACAGGGCAGCAAAGACGGCAAAGATGACAAAGGAATAGCCAGCAATATGTGCAAAGACGACAGGGAAGCACTGTCCAATCAAGAAATTAACTGACCAATTGACACATGTGCCCATCGATCCTACTGAGGAGGAGGCATATGTAGGTGTCAGCTCGGAGGTCATCATCCAAGGAATAGGACCAATACCAATAGCAAATGATGCGACATATAAAAACACAGAGACGACGAGAAGAGAAGGAATGGTGTAGACGTATCCTATGACCAATAGGGTACAAAAGATACATGCACCTGCATTGGCAGCAAGGAGAAGCGGACGACGACCCATACGGTCGACCAAGACAACGGCTGCGATAGTAATCACAAAGTTAACAACAGTGGCAATGATTGTCATGTACTTGGAGACTTCTTGATCAAATGCCAAAGTGAATATCTTGGTAGAGTAATACATGACGGCATTAATGCCCACAAGCTGCTGGAAGGCGTGAAGGCAGACGATGGTTAGGGAGATACGACGGATGACAGGATCCATAAAGATCTGGACAACATTCATGGCTTCAGGGGGTTGTGAGGTAGCTATAGTCGTTTGGGTATCCACAAGTTTGGCAGGCGTTGTTCCATCTGTTACTTCAACGCTATCATACTCTGTCTTTTCAATGGTTAGATCAAGCTCTTGAATCATAGATTGAGCAGTAGCCATGCCAAAGTGTCCTTCGAGCATACTATAAAATTCGACATCAATCGATGCATTACTTCTTAGCTTCTGTAACGTTTGTTTAGCTTCCTTTATACGATTGATAGAAATAAGGTAACGAGGAGACTCTACACAAGTGTTCATAAGAAAGAACTGAATGATGGCAGGTATAGCAACAATCACATAACTAAGACGCCAAAGTGGTACGTTGGCTAAAAAAAGTCCAACAATAGTCGAGAGTAAAATGCCAATCACAATGAAAAATCTAGAAGAGACAAAAAAAAAAGTGCGCGTGTCAATCGACACATTTGGAATGTTTCTTTTTTTTTTTGTAGCCTTACTGGTTGCATGTCCCCATTGCACCACGCATAGGTATGGTTGCTATTTCCCCAATATAAATTGGAATTGTTAACGAGCCAATTCCACAGGAAATACCACAGAGAATACGTCCGATGATAAACATGAAGGGAGAAATAGCGCATGAGATCAGAATGCCACCAATGATAAAACCAAGGTTATTTAGAATGATGGTCTTTTTTCGACCTAGCCTTGTTTGTATCGTGCCACCGGATAAACCGCCAATGAGCCCACCTATGCAAAACGAAGCGACGGCAAATCCCCTTTGCTATAAATGAGTTCAAATGCAAATAATATAGATGCACGCACAATTACCATAAAGCGTCATCCATTGGTAAACAATCAGGAAAGAACCGAGAGTAAGCATAGTGGGATCCATTGATGCAGTGATGTGTCACTTCTCCTGGCACATTGGGCGACCCGATAACCCAGCCGTTACTGAAGGCGCCAAGACAGGAAACCAAGACACAGTAAAGCATATAGGGCGGGAATTTTATATGAGTAGAATCCATTTCAGACATGATTTATTGATATAACAGATAATATAAAAAAAGAAAAAAGAAAAAAAAAAGGGTTGATGTTTATATAAATCCTCCTAGAAAATTGAATATAGTTTTGTTGGAAATTTTAATATGAAAAGAATTAAGACAATTGTGGATCAAAATGAGATGTGGTGATACTTTCTCTTCTATTGGATAAAGTGTTCATGATTGAAAAATTGTTATTGTTGTTGCTGTTGCTTTGACGTACGCCCTATTGTGATTGAGTTATGTGCATTCATGTGTATGAGAATAAATTTTTACCAATGGATTTTTACTAAAAGACAAGCGTATTCCACCTTTGACAGAGTTGCTAAGCGGGTTTCCATGGAGATCTTGTAATGCTTGCGCTGCATAGATGGCATCTTCGAATTCGACAAAACACATGGGTCCATTCGACTTGTTCTTAAACGATAGACGCTTATATCCCGCACATTTTGAAAACATGGACTTGAGTTCATCTTCATTGGCATTCGGAGGTAAGTTACCGACATAAAGTGTATTACAGGGAGGATTTTGATCTGCTGGATTTGTGCTTCCTACGAGCATACCACCCAAGCTACGATAACTATGATTTGGTGATAAAATACCTGGAGGGGGTGGCGGGGAAGGAGAATGAGGAGCAGGTGAGATGGATTTAGGAGGAGTCGAATTAGAAGTATGAACAAATGGAGGAAACCTTGAAAAGTGATGTGGAGGATCATGATGATTCATTAAACCAGTTGAAACAGTTGACATTGGTCTAAGCGGAGGAGAAAGAATATGATGAGGATAATGTTGTTGCTGTGGTTGAGAGGATGGAATTATATGTGGATGAAATGATCTATCATTGCTATTATCATGAGGTGTTGATTTGGATAGGTAATCAAATTCTAATTCTTTGCCATTGTGGAATCTATTAGCAGCTACAGCAGATAATCTACTCTGAAATCTACTATTGTTGCTAGATAAAGATGGACGGATAAATAAATCCATTGATCTAGCATCTACTGACTGTGAACGTGAAATAAAGTTTTCTACGGGTGGTGGTGAGCCAACAAAGGCAAGATCGGAATAAAAGTCGGAGTAAGATTCGTTTGTCATGGAAGAAGGAGTTGTGATAGGTGACATCAAGTCTTTTGGGACGGATGACGGTGGGACAGAATAAAATGCTTCATAAGCCGTATTAAATCGATTAGGTGTTGGTTGTTGAATCTTTTGAAGCTCTTCCTGCTCCATTGTATGCTGCTCTTGTTGTTGTTCAGTTATATTTAGTTTTTTCGTGTGAAGATTTTTCTTTGCCATTTCAGCTTTTAATGTATTCCCTTTTTCAGGATCTATTTTACGTCCATTCAATACATCCTTCGCCTCAATAGCTTCTTTGCGTGTCCTAAACTTTGCGAATCCAATCTACACAAGAATACATAAGCACACACGTATGCAGTAAGAATATAACTATTTACTATTTGCTTCTTTATGTTGTTCGCCAAATCATCATCTCCATCTTTTAACGATGGTACTTTAAGCATAGCGGCTTCAAACCCAGAGGAAAACATAAACATATTTTGGAATTCACGCTCTTGCATATCCTCTGGGAATCCTACTACAAATATAGTAGAAATTTCTTCTCTTGTAGGTGAAACAAGCTGTTCTCCGTCACTACCGTTCATTAATCCATTCTTGTTACTATAAAATGAGGTATTTAAAGGAGTAAGAGGAAGCGGCATTTGGCTCATTTTTCTTTATGAAAAAAAAAAAGGTATTAGAGTTGCAAGAGAGAAGAAAGGGGAGAGAGGGGGGTTAAATAAACTAGCTGGCTTTATTAATATTGTTTATATTTTGCATCATTTCTTAACTTACCTCCTCACAAACGCTCACGCACTCTCAAATACGCACACAAAAAAAAGAAAGAAAAAAAAAAAAAAAGAAAGAGAAAGGGAGAGAAAGGTTCAGGCTCTTGGTACCAAAAAAAGATTAAATCGTACTTTGAAATAAACACGAGGGGAAAGACTTGTAAGAAATTGTGAATGCACGTGACCTTTCATAGTATTGGTTTGTATAAAGTTTCCTTTTAATGTTGAAAGAATGCTTCATATTAAGAATATATTTAAGAATATGCCCACAGCAGTAAAAAAGAAGAAGAGGAGAAAAGGGGAAAGAGGAGAAGGGGAAATAAATCGGATGTTGATAAGAAGGGGTAAAGTAGTAAATGCGCGCGCGAAAAGAGCTTACGGAATGAAAGTAGTTTTGAAAAAAAAAAAAAGAGTATAAATACTAGGAAATAGTTTAGAATCAATTTTTATGATTATTATGACTCAATCAGTTTCCATGCTTAATTTTACAGTAAGAACTTTTCATAATATTTTTATAATGTGAGAAAGTAACCAATCTAAAAGGATTCTTGCTTTATCGAAATTGACTTGTCAAGCAAAGAAGGTAGACACTAATAGTATTGTCTCTTTAAACTTATCATTTTTTCTCTCATAGCTATTTCAAAATATCAGGAGCAAATGTCTATAGATATCGATACATCACCTTCCGTCTCAATATGGAAAGCAGCAGAGACAGGCGACATAGAAGCTCTTGAATACTTTTTACTACACAATACTGAGCTACTCAACATGCGTGATCCAAACACAGAATGTACACTTCTTCACCTCTTAGTTTCCAATGTACCCGACCCTATACGACCACTAGAGCTCCTACTGAAACATGGAGTAGACGTTACAGCTCAAAACATTTATAATGTCCAAGCGATTCATGCTGTCTTTCTGAACTGTTCTTGTCCACTCGAAGCTGTCCGATTGCTTTTATCATATGATGCAAACCCCAATGCGCGAGATGGCGATGGATGGACACCGCTTCATTATGCAGCAAGGTTCTGTCAGTTGCCTGAACCAGTCTTAAAACTATTAATTGATGCAGGTGCAGACGTAAATGCCATAGATGTCAACCAAAAATCGGCCTTATTCAGTCTTTTGGCTAATGGAGATCACAGCCAGACACTTGATTGGCTCATTCACACCGCAAGGGCAAACTTAAAAATAAAAGGAGATTTTGTGGACAGCTTGACACGTAGGACAAGACAAGGCACGTTGATACTGCAAGCAGCCAAATATGGAAGATTCTCCTGTTTACAGCTCCTAGTCAACTCAGAGACGGCAATGCAGAGTCTGCAGTCTGTTTTGACCAGAGAAGAACTGGATGACGCCATTGGCATCATAAGAATGCAGCTGTTGAAACTGTCAACAAGAGAACAAATAGAGAAACTAGGATCAATGATTATTTTATTGGAAGAACTGACTCAGAAATTATCCAAGAAAAAGAATAAATCAAAACATCATTCGGTCATTAAGAGAAGGCCTAACCTTTTGAGGAGGATAGTAGCTGCTGCGGTTACCAGGACAACAACAACAACAACAACAGCAGGTGTTAATGGGAAAAAAATATAAGCGCAACGAATGACATTTAAATTAGTATGAATTCATGCAATAAAAAAATTTTATTTTATTTTTTCTTCTTTTTTCTCTTTTTTTTTTCTTTAATAAATAATAATAAACATGGCAGGTACAACACATACATCAAGCATATTCGAAGATGGTCGAAGAAGGAGTAGTTGCTGTAACTTTTGTCAGATAGAAAACACACAATTTAATCCCTTTGATGACAATAACAGTAATCATGGACCATTAGCAACTCCTCCTCTAAATAGCGTATATTTGGATGATGTACAACCGTTCTCACAGATATACATTTTAAATTTGTTTATGGCACCTGACATGAAAAGATACCTGATAGAAACCCCACTGTCTGATGATATATATCAGCTTCCTGTACACCTTCAGAGGCTAGTACTCGAAGCAAGAATGGAATTAAAAATGGTGAAAGAGAACGGTGCCTATCAAAGATTAGAACGAGTAAGAGATTTTGTAAGAAGTGTAGCAGGTCCAGAGGATACGGCTGCTATGATTCAAGTAGTAAATCACCTTGTTTACGATGATGATGAATTGTCGACAATATTGGGTCAATAAACTGTCATTCAATATTCCCCCTGTATTTTTAGTGGTTCTTCCGTATTTTTCACTGCCGCTTTTGTCTCAGATCATAAAAAATACGGGAATCTCTTTTAACAACCACGTATTGCACAGGTCACAAGTTGTGTTTCCGCTAAATCTTTTTTTTTTGGAATATTCCCTAAGCAGCTTAGAAAAAAAACACTCAAAACCATTTGGGAAAAAAAATGTTTTTTTAAAGAGCAAACACTTGGTGCACTCACAAATGCACTCAAAAATAGGCTAATAATACTATGGGCGGTTCCTTGGGGGGCTAACTGTAACATTGCTTTACAATTTCACGCTACCAAAGTCTCTGCTTAACCTAAGACTGTCCAGTTCGTTCTGATACAAAATGTAAATGTATCATAATTACACGTGTTCTTGCATCTTTGTTTATTAAACTGACAACATAAAGTTAGAATAAAAAAAATAACAATATTTCTTTTTTATCTCTTTCTCCTTGAAAAGAGACAAACCAATTTGGTGACTTTATAAAAGCCATGCTTAGTTTGACACTGCAAATTGAAAAGCTTTGTTATGCGACATCATAGGTAGTGGATAGAGGTATTGGTTTATTTTTGAGTGCACCAAGTGCTTGCCTTTTTTTATTGTATTTTGTTTGAAAAAATCATTAAGTACGTTCTTATAACAGCCTGAAAGTTCTGCGCTTAAAGCAGAAGTAGCCTTGCCTAAAAAGATTAGATGTGCTAACAGTAAAAACACTTTTAACATCATCGGTAACAACAATAACATTGGAGATATCCAACTTGGTGATACTATAGTGCATCCGAAAGTAGCAGCATGAATACAAAGCGCAAGGCTAATGATGACTCTGAAGAGATGGCAAAAACGAAGAAGCCTTATCAATCTGAATTTGTAGGAAATACTGAAGAAATCAACTCCATTTTGGTAAACTGGAACAAGTTCCTTGAAAAAAAAAAAAAACTTTCACCCCTATAGTCTAAAGTACCACTGTGTCATTGGTTATGGAAAAACTGTTTCATCTAGACCTTCTTTGAATAAAGAGCTTTATGATTAACATGTCAGCCAGCATGAGGAAAAGGAATATCCACTTCCAGAAGTGTGCATAGCATACATTAATAACGTCATGAATCAACATGATTTGAAAAAATATAGAAAAGCAATTAGAAAAGTACCAGAAGCAGAAAGTGAAGATGGAGATACCTTTTTGCTTGTTGAAAGTATATTTCAAGCCATATACAATTTCCAAATCACTTTCAAAGATATCCATGACGGTAAAACCGGATTCAATGGCCTTTTCTTGCTTCCCTTTTTAAAGGCAGTGGCAGCAGCAGCAGCAGCAGAATTTGGTGCAGCTAAAACTGATTTTTGCTATGGTGAAATTTGTTTATAAGCGATATCCACTCAATTAAAGACGTTAAATATGATGGTCGATGGCCGTAACAAGTACAATACTGATGGATTGATCCGAATGTACAGATATAAAAATTTAGAGATCCTCTTCCTAGAAACATTGTCTTATTTTGGATGTAGTGATCAATCCAAATCACTGTATTTAACATTATTTACAGGATCGAGATTGAAACATTGTTGACCGAAAAGACAAAATGGGATGGTATTGGATTTTACCCAACTTTAGACAAGAAGATAGGAATGGTACTGGTGGAGTTCTCAGGTGGCATTTCGTGGAACAAAACACAAAAAAAGGCTACCAGTGATATGCAAAAAAAAGAGAAGGGGGAGATTTCCTTCATCGAATATACAAACGTAGATATTGGACACTACATAAGATACCATGGCAAGTAGTCTTGTTCTTTCTTCATTCTAAAAAATTCTCAATTAATATCTCTAATAGACCTGGAGCTGTAATTTGAAATAATATGGTAAATCAATAGAGCTTACATCAAATGAACTTGGACAGCTTTAAAGCTCCCAACAATACCTGCAGAGTTCTCGGCATTTTTTAAGGAAATGCCAGAGATATTTGAGTGGAAACAATCTTTGATGGACTCCATCTCTCAATTATCTTCTTGAAATAAAATTAGTGCTACTCTTTCTTCTTAAGGCTTCGCATGAAAACTATATGCTACTCAAAGGGTTCGCTCTGCACTCTCTGATTGAACAAGTCAAATGTATTCTAGTTTCTGTATATAAAGACAAAAAAAAATCATAGATTGGGCTCCTTTTTTCTTTCTTTACTTTCAGAGATAGTTCTGTTACTTTCATAAAATCCAAAGTATTCAGCTTGCAGGAATGTAATATATTGTTATGAATAATGCTCCCTTCCATAAGCCTGAAGATGATATTGATGGAATGATAAAAAAAAGGAGATATAGAAGCATCCACCTTTCTCCATATTGTCCTGAGCTAAAATTAATTGAACAGCTATAGGCCTTACTCAAAAGCAGAGTAAAGCGAAGTTAATTTGGCGATGCCGAGGACGTGAAAACAAGAATAAGTAAAGGTAATCAAGATATCCCTTAAAATAAATAGCGGCTTCCAATAAGAAAGATATATATTAAACTCGTTTGTTGACAAACAAGATCAATATAATAACTTCATTATTATAATTTCAGCAAGAAACGTTACTATGGTTTAGAAATAAAAGTTAATGTATCTGTATTACGCCCTGTGCTGATGTATATGAATAATTTGACCTAAAAGAGTTACATGTTGTGTATTCACGTATTTCATGTTTTGATAAAGCTGAAGTAGCTTTCAAGTTCAAGAGCAGCAAGAAAGGTTGGCTTTGATTTATAAGGCAGCTTTGACTTTCGTAAATACATTTATGGTGTAATTGATAGGTCGACAAAAGGTAATGTACAGTAAAACTGAACTACATTCTTTATTAATTTGAAACACGGGCCTTATAAATATCAGTGTGTCTTAATTAGTCCTTATTATAATGTAACCTAGGAGACAGCATTGCATGTTGAGATCTTAGTGTTGGGATGTTGCTAATGTAGTAATGTTAATGTTGGATGTTGTATATAAGAATACGCTGTGAAGTATACGTTTGAATACGACAACACATCTTTCGTGGTTCAATAGTGAATTGTGTATTTATTAAAAAAATTCATAAAGAAAAGCTAGAATCTTCGTTCACCAAAACTATCTGAAATAGCTTGGATCCATCCCCCACAGGACGGAAACCTGTTCTAACATCGTGGAGGAAAAGGAAAAAAGAATAGACCCTTGATCCCAATATAGTCAATAGCCCTAGACCAACGGAGTCACGCCAGGTATAGAACGCATTGCTGTACTGCCTATGGTGAGGCCATACTCTATACCTATAACGGTCGTTGAGGTCAGCTTATCAGCCCGCATGGGAGAGTCTACCACATAATGAATAGCAGAGGTGCAACCAGGTCTCTTGGAGGCACTCTATTTGACGCTAGGGGTATTGTTCACGAGAAGCCCGATGGAAACACCCCAAAAAAACCCCACTTTTTGTACGTGGATACTACTGATAAGATTCACCACGTTACGAGAAGCTCGCTGAATCAAAATGATACCTTGCGCTTGCGGTTAAATAATGCGTTAATAGAGTGCCAGCCATTCAAAATGTGAAAGATAAAGAAAAAACAAAAAAAAAAAAACGGAGTACGCCTTATACCTGTGAAAATTTAACAAATTTTTAAGCCAATCATTAATTGATTTGGTTTAGACTAAGACATGCGCGTAGCGAACTTGAAAAATATGCTACCATATCTCTTTCCCTCTTAAAGCCATGTACAAAGTTCAAACCTATCGTATTTTTACGCTTATATCAAAGAAGATTATACACTTTTTGACGTAATATAATCAGTATATATTTGGTGCACAACCCAGAGTTATCTTAAATATAAACATAATATCTCGTACATTGACTCATGGCGTCTGTGGTATGTAGTGGTTGATGACGCGTCATGCCCCTATAGATGTAACAGCTTGATAACTTTTGTTCTTGCATATAAACATTAACTTTCCCTTTTGCCACGAATCTCTTTCCTTTCTTTGCTCATAAATGATTACAAAATGACTTATTTCATCTTGTTGTATCCTTATGTTTCTGAGGTAAACCATTTGCTCATCGACAATATCACAAACGGAAGAATTTAAGCACTTTTGATTGGAACGCATACGGAGAAAAACCGACCTGGATGCTCATGAAGCATGCGAAACATACATACATGAAGTCGTTAACCAAGAAGCAGGCTTGCTGAATACACAATCTAGGAAAACATCAATAGCACCAAACACATCTGATTTGTCTCTCTCCGATGACGCTGCAGATACCATACCAACAGATCACGGTCAGGTTATTCTCGTCTCTACTCCAGACACCATACTGGATGATGTGCGTAACGCAATCCCCTTGCAGCCATGGATGCATCGAGGCACGAAAGCGGCTGAACGAGTCACGAGCTTTAAGCAAGCCATCGCCAGAATCACAACCAGCAAACTGCTATATATCGAGTCATCTGTGCACGAGCTGTTGGTCCTGTCAAACATCCTTCTCTTGTGTACGAATCAACACAGCCCGCTTTTTATGAGCGCCTTTAATGAAGATTTATTGGACAATCTTAACAAGGATCTCTCGGCCGAATGCATGGATCACAAGGCGGACATTAGCGACAATGCATGCATGAAATTGGCTCGGATCATCGACAATATGAATTCGAAGAAACTTACCAAGGACGATGCAGAAATCGAGCTTCTAATGTTCGTAAGAAGTACGTGCTCCCTTGGACAATCTTTGGTGCGGGGAATTTCAGCAGCGCAAGACCATCATTGACTAGTAGTGGGTGAAAGACTGTACCAAAACTAAACAGTTCTTCTATAGGATGCACTGCTAGCCGCTCGTTGCTATAAAAAACAAACAAACAATTGGATGGTTGAACTTTTTACGATGTACTTTGATCTCATCTTGGCATCACTACTCTCGGATCCGGACAGAAAAGAGCTCCTGCGTTGGTCAAACATCACCTCGGACGAAAATTATGAGATGTGCCCTGACGCCACAATATCCAAGTTGTCGTAATGCGATTTCGGATAGAGCCTTGGGCTCAGGACCACCATTCTCATTAACATCATTCCCATGTCCGTCTTTAAATAAAAATATTTTACTCATGTTAAATGTAAAGAATTGAAGAAAAACATCACGTCTTGAAAAAAAAAAAGGGGAAACCTGCTTTTGTAGTTTTTCGAGACATGGTTTCTAAAAATACGGCTTGTCTTTCTGAAAACGTGAATTTGATTTTGATCAGCAAATGACATCAATTTTGACTGTCCGCGACATTGCTTATCGGAAGCACTGTATGTTTGAAGAGAATAGCATCTGTTTGGCCCATTTTCTCTTCTTCATTTCACTGCACTGTGCTTTATATTTAATTGTATGATATTGTTATTAAACCTACTACATGTATATTATTTATAAATTTTAAGTCTTGCCTGGTTGGACCATTATTAAGCTTATATTTAAATTTAGTCTTTCAGAAATCATTGCACTAGTGATCAATAAAGTCTTTCCTTTTCTGGGTCAGACTAATATCATAAAAACGCCCAACTGACAGTAAACAAAACATGTATGAGAGTGGTAAAGAAATTAAGTTGCACATTTTTATTTGAAAAAAAGCATTCTTTTTTTCTTTAGTTAGCAGCTGCAGCTTCTACCTTGTTGGCAGCATCAAGACCAAGTTGCTTATCAGTCCACATGGGTTCAGGTTGGACAGAGTTTTCAATACCGACGCCAGCACGACCGCCTTCAGCAGTCCAATCTTGAACACGCTTGAATCCATAGCGATTCCAGATCTTATCAAGTGAATGAACGAGTTCATCAATCATTACATCATTATGACCAGGAGTGGGTGTAATGCGAAGTCGCTCTTCACCAACGGGAACAGTGGGGTAGTTGATGCTCTGAACGTAAATGTCATGTTCGGATAAGAGCTCATCAGAAGCCAACTTGGCAGCAGCAGCATCGCCCAAGAGAACGGGTACGATGTGAGAAGGATTGGGGATCACAGGAATACCAATGTCATCCAAGCGAGATTTAACGGTGCGAGTGTTGATTTGTTGCATTTGGCGTTCAGTAGAGGATCTCTTGAGGTATTTAACAGATTCCATAGCACCAGAAACAACAGCAGGAGGAAGGGAGGTAGTAAAGATAAATCCAGGAGCATAAGAGCGAATCATGTCAACAAGAGTAGCAGATCCAGCAATGTACCCACCGACAACACCGTAAGCCTTACCTAGGGTGCCAGTGATGATATCAATATCATCCAAAACGGAACCATTGCCCATGACAGGACGAGAGGCATTCAAGTCATAATCAAGGTGCTCAGCAACACCAGCACCGCGAGGGCCATACATACCAACGGCGTGTACTTCATCCAAGAAGGTGATGGCACCATACTTCTTGGCTAAATCAACAATTTCACGAATAGGACCGATAGAACCGCACATGGAATAAACGGATTCGAAGGCAATGATTTTGGGAACACTAGGATCAACGGCTTGTAATAGTTCTTCAAGGTGCTTCATGTCATTGTGGCGGAAGATCTTCTTGGCAGCCCCGGAGTGACGAATACCTTGGATCATGGAAGCGTGGTTAAGTGAATCAGAAAAGATGACGCATCCAGGTAGTTTGGAAGCAAGAGTGGAAAGGGTTGCATCGTTTGCAACATAGCAAGAAGAAAAAACGAGGGCACCTTCTTTATGGTGCAGATCAGCAAGTTCGGATTCCAGACGTAAATGGAGATCGGCGTTACCAGCGATGTTTCGTGTACCACCAGCACCAGCACCATAACGATCCAAAGTACGTCTAACAAACAAAATGTTAGCATTTGATTTGCAGCCAAATCAATCCATGCTTACTTCATAGCATCCGTCAAAACAGGGCTTCTTCCCATACCCAAATAATCATTGGCGCACCAAACCGTGACTTCATCCGTAATACGGGCAGTATGGGCGCGAGGGAATTTTTGAGCTAAGCGGTTAATGTTATTGAAATAACGATAACTCTTATCTCTGTGCTTTTTATCTAATTCCTCTTGATAAAAGCTTTCGTAATCGAAATGCTTTTGAGTCTGGTGTGCTACAGGGGGAACAATCTTGGGGCCCTGGTTATTATGAGTAGCAACTAGATTTCATATGAATTAATTCACACACACACGTAACAATCTCCGCTTTTTTATAAATATTTACTTGAAGCTTTTACAGGCTTAGAAGGTGTCTGTTTGACAACGCTGGAAGTAGACAAAGAACGAGCAGAGATGGCTTGACTCATGACTGGACATTGTTTTGCCTTGGTGATTAATGGGTTAACACCAGAAGAAGTCATTCTACGAAGAGAAGAAGCAGATGCCAAGTGGATAAATGGGCATGACTTCTTTGCTTGCATTAAGGCAACCTCCATCTTGTTAAATTAATAAAGTGGGGGGAGTAAAGAAAAAGAGAATGTAAGAAATAAAGAGAAAAAAAAGAAAGGGAGGCAAGGCCCTTGCCGAAAAATTTTTATCTTTTAAACAACTGCTAATTGATTTTCCGAAGAGGATTATCCAATTGAGATTTATAAAACCTCTGACTAAGACCAATCCATCAAAAACTCTACTATGGCCTTTTTTCTTTTCGTGCAAGTACACCAGTAGATCAACTATTTGTAGAACCCCCTCAGAAATGGGATGAAAAGCCGATTAGACATATAAGTTACCGAGAGCAGTTATTGCCGAGAGAGAAGCTTTATGATCCAACAGTACAAATCAATTGTCGTTTCCTCTCTTTTTGTTTTCTTCCTCGCTATTTTTTAATATCTAGTATCAATGCAAATCAACGTAAATATCAATATCACTTAGAAATCATCAAGCAGTAACGTAATTCCTGAAAGCCGGCGTAGAGTCATCAAAAACAAAGAGCGCGCCTTACATTTCAACTTCTCTCTCAATGGCCAAGATGATAATGAGGCAAAGGCCTTATCTTATGAATTTGTTTTACACAGCATAAAGAAACTTGCTTTAAACTTTATAACGGATGAATTGCAAATAAAGAATACTATTTATAGTAGAAATGTGTAATTGTAATCACAAATTTCACCAATTAGCCAATGATGCATTAAAGTTCTTCTCTGGCCACCATGGTTGGAATCATAGTGACTATAGGACTAAAATGACTATTGTCACTATTCGTGCTGCTGCTGGTGGACCGAGTGAGCCATGATATCCAAGAGATACCTACATCCCATGTACGCTTCTTGATAATGTAGAGCACAACAAAGCAAAAAAAGAGTAGACCAATCGAAAGTAAGATTCTATCGAACCAATCCGATGCTTCAAGCTGAGTGATGACTCTCTTTGATATATTTACTAAAGCTCCCAGATTTTGATATTCCGAGTAAGTGTTGGACAATGTCCTAGAAGATTCGGCTAAACAATATAAGCTTTTTTCCTTTTTCCTTTTTTATATGCTCTGATTACCTAGCATAGTCGCTGACAACGTGCTCTTTTCTAACTCCTGCTGCATCAATGTACTCGTTCTACGAAGTGCTTCGGTCACATCGGATGAGGCGCGTAAAAGTTCATGGTCATGATGACTATGATGTATTGCTATTAGTTGTCTCTAGCCCATTATTCACTGTTTTTTTTTTTTTACCTCTTTTGGATTCCTCGCTGTTTTAATTCAAACTGTTCACTAAATGATGATTCATTTACTGTTCTTCCAAATAACTCTTCTCTGTTCCTTTTTTCCATATCAATAATTTGTCTTTTTGAAGTCAACATCGCTTGTCTCGAATTGACTTGTAAACTTGTATTTATTAAAGAATGTGCTATTGTTTATTATCATGTTTGCTTACTGTCTAAGCTGATTTTCATATTCACTCAGTCTTTTCAAAATCAAATCTTGATTATTGTCCTCTTCTGCTAATAGTTTAATAGACTACATAATAAGGGTCAGTCTTGTCTTTTTTCATTCTCATGATGCTTACTGCAATCTTTTCTTCAAGACTTCGTAAATCTGACTTTATCAAGTCTGAAATTTCCCTTTGAACAGTAAGTGAATCGACATGACTTAGTCTCTCTATATGCTGTTGACAGTCGGCTGTAATTTCACTGAGAGCTCTAAACTTGGAATCTATTGAAGTCATTAAGAAGAGAACGTATATTCAATAGTCAACTTGGGAATTGACAAATAATTTAGACACCGAACATAGGTTTAATGCATTATACTTCGCTCTCTTTTTCTCTATCTACGATCTATATCATTTAAGCTCTGTGATATATATATGTATATACATATACATATCCTTTTCCTCTTTTTCTTGACGTCTAAATACTCTCTACTTCCATCATGACTTAACAACATTCAATAAATCATGATAAAAGAACGAGAAAATAAACAACCTGTGTATATGTATATATATACATTAAGAGAGGCTCAAAATGACTACATTTATACGCAAATTACAATAGAGAGTAATTGTAGTGATTTATAATCCTTATACAGCCGTACTTGAATTCATTGTTCTACCTTTTCTCTCTTTTAGTTCAGTTCGATATCTTTGATGGCTTAGCTTATAAAATTTTTAAACCGCATATGGGAGGCGTAAATACGTAGCGGGTAACAAAGTATCTTTTTTTTTTCTTACACTTCATAAACCCAACCCCCCATTCTGAAAGATGTCTGACAGGCTTACCCGTATTGCCATTGTTAGTGCTGACAAGTGTAAACCAAAAAAGTGTAGACAAGAATGGTAAGCCTTTGAATCAGTGTGATGGCATATCAATTACTTATTTCTTTGTTACAGTAAACGTTCTTGCCCCGTAAACAGAATGGGTAAGGATAATTAAGATTCTTTAATAAACCCCACACTAAATATAATGTTAGGTAAGCTCTGTATTGAAGTTGAGCCCACCTCTAAAATCTCGTGGATCTCTGAAGAACTCTGTATTGGTTGTGGTATTTGCGCAAAAAAGTGTCCTTTTGGTGCCATTCATATCATCAACTTGCCCACCAACCTTGAATCCGAAGTCACTCATCGTTACTCTGCCAACTCTTTCAAACTTCATCGTTTACCTGTACCTCGTCCTGGTCAGGTTTTGGGTTTAGTCGGTACCAACGGTATTGGTAAATCTACCGCGTTAAAGATTCTTTCCGGCAAAATGAAGCCCAATTTGGGCAAATTCGACAATCCTCCTGATTGGCAAGATATCCTGAAATACTTCCGTGGTAGCGAATTACAAAACTACTTTACCAAGATTTTAGAAGATAACTTGAAGGCCATCATTAAACCTCAGTATGTGGATCATATCCCCAAGGTTGTTAGCGGCAAAGTAGCTCAACTGTTGCAGGATAAGCATGAGCGCAACAACATGGAAGACATAATTGATGCACTTGATCTCAAAGACGTTCTTACTCGTGAAGTAGGTCAACTTTCAGGTGGTGAATTGCAAAGATTTGCTATTGGTGTTGTCGCTGTTCAACAAGCCGATGTATACATGTTTGACGAACCTTCATCATATTTGGATGTCAAGCAACGTTTGAATGCTGCCAGAGTCATTCGTTCTCTTTTGTCCTCAAGCACCTATATCATTTGTGTAGAACACGATTTGTCAGTATTGGATTACCTTTCAGACTATGTCTGTATTCTTTACGGTATGCCATCCGCTTACGGTGTCGTTACGCTACCCTACTCCGTCCGTGAAGGTATCAACATCTTCTTGGATGGTAATATTCCTACAGAAAACTTGCGTTTCCGTGAAGAATCATTGACTTTCAAGATCGCCGAGACAGCCACGGAAATTGCTGCTACTCAAAGTAACAACTACAGATATCCCAAGATGCGAAAGATTCTTGGTGACTTCAAATTGGATGTTGAAGCTGGTGAATTTACAGATTCTGAAATCATTGTCATGTTGGGTCAAAACGGTACTGGTAAATCCACATTCATTCGTCTTTTAGCTGGTCTTCTTAAGCCAGATGATGGAAACTCCGTACCTCAACTTAATGTCTCTTACAAGCCTCAAAAGATCTCTCCCAAATTCAAGGGTACTGTTCGTATGCTCTTCTTGAAGAAGATCAAGGGTGCTTTCTTGAACCCTCAATTCAATACAGACGTCATTAAGCCTCTCAACATTGAAAATATTATTGATCAAGAAGTCATGCACTTGTCTGGTGGTGAATTGCAACGTGTTGCCATTGTTCTTGCTTTAGGTCAACCTGCCGATATTTACCTTATTGACGAACCTTCAGCTTATCTTGATTCAGAACAACGTATTATTGCTGCCAAGGTCATCAAGCGATTCATCCTTCACTTTAAGAGAACCGCATTCATTGTAGAGCACGATTTCATCATGGCCACTTATCTTGCTGACCGTGTTGTTGTCTATGAGGGTACTCCTTCCGTCCATGCTGTTGCCAACAGTCCTCAATCCTTATTGACGGGTATGAACAAATTCTTGGCTTCTCTTCAAATCACATTCCGTCGTGATCCTTCCAACTTCAGACCAAGAATCAATAAACTTGATTCTCAGCTTGATCAAGAACAAAAGGCCTCTGGTAACTATTTCTTCTTGGAACAGTAAATATTTTAGAGAATAAAAAGCATCCAATTGCAACAACATTAATCCCCCTCCTCAACTTCACCTATTCTCATTGTCCTACACGTCATCCCCCTTCTTCTCCCCTTTCACCTACCCAAAGTCTCTTTAGTAATTAAATAGTCCTTTTAAAAAATTAGCTGTTTTTTCTTTTTTTTTTTTTTTCTTTATAAATAAAAATAATGGCACAATCTAATCCAACAAATGTTATTCGTTTTTTACATATAATTGAAAACTTGAAAGTAAAAAAGAAAAACAACAAGCCCATTCTCCATTGTTATTTTTAACTCGCTATTTCACAGAAAACCAAGAGAACAGGTTGGTTAGATAATGGAATTAAACAAGCAGAATCGATTGCAGATCATATGCATCGCATGTCAATCATGGCCATGCTTGTTAATGATCCCTCTATCAATCGTGACAAATGCATCAAAATGGCCATTGTTCACGATCTTGCCGAAGCAGTTGTCGTAAGGAGGAGACGCGAATTAGATAGACTCGCTTGAGGCTCATCATTTTTTTATAGGGTGATATTACACCACATGCAGGTGTGAGCAAAGAAGAAAAGTTTAGTTTGGAAAAGGTAAAGAGATATGAACCACTTTTTCATGTTAATAATATTAAAAATAGACTGCAATAGATGGATTTAAAGAGATGCTAGATGATACAGACATGGTCAATGAAATGGCTAGTCTATGGCACGAATATGAAGAAGCCAAGACACCAGAAGCATTGTTTGTTAAAGACCTTGACAAGTTTGAAATGATCGTACAAGCTTTAGAATACGAAAGATGTAAAACACGACAATACACACATAAATGAACTGGTAATAATATATTCTTTAGCTGAAAAGAAAAACCTTCAGGGATTCTTTGATTCAACAAGAGGCAAGTTTCAGCATCCTGCCGTAAAGGCTTGGGCAGAAGAATTATATAAAGAAAGATTAGAGTTATGGAAATAAACAGATAGAATATGATCTTTGCATGTGCCCTTTCCATCTATCAGAAAGCAGTCCTGTATTCATTTGAGTAGCATGAATGCTCTTAATAAACTAGATCTAACCTTTTTTTTTTATTGTTATTGTTATTAATTAAATGAGTCAGCAATGCGGTAATCCTCTTTTACGAGATTGGGTAAAAGAATGGATGGATGAAGCAAAGCGTATGCAAATGAAGTCTTACTACACATATAAAAAGGTACAACAATAATATTACCTTGTTCCCAAGACTTATGTTTTCAAAACAAAAAAAGGCTTATGATGCACTGTGTCGTTGTCCCAATACCTTTGAACACCCATCACAAGCACAGAGATTAGAAGGCATTGGTCAAATTATGGCCAAGCGTTTAACAGAAAAAATGATTGAGTACTGTCAAAATAACAATCTGCCTATACCTTTACCTGTAAAAGGTTGGTTGATTTAATATATAAAAAGCATGAAGTGAACTCATTCCTTTTTAATAAAGGTAAACGCAAAAGAGGCGAACAAGATGATGATACAGATCAGAGTAGCAGTCAGTCATCAAGATCCAGAGCGCCAAAAACATACGTACCTACCTTCAGGTCCGGACCTTATGCCATTCTATTATGCTTACTTGATTTTCAACAAAATGGACAAACCAGCGCAACAAAGGAACAAATATGCTCATATGGACAAAAGTATTGTGATAATTCAATGACACTTGCTGATCCAGGAAAATCATATACAGCCTTCAGCGGAGTCAAGACGTTGATTGACAAAGGCTATGTTTATAAAAACGGTCGACCACCAAAATTTATGCTAACAGAAACAGGAATTGCCATGGCTGAAAGATTGAGGGATGTCAATGGTGAAGGCCATAATAATAGTTCCCAGACAGTTAGAGAAGAGGAGCATACATTGAACAGAGATGATACTGGATCAAGAAAGCAACCGAGAAAGAAAAAGAAAGCAAGCACGGCTGCTATATTGGATAGATTGTTAGAATCGGGTTATGGGATATCAGATGAACCAGATCTGAGCTTATACACTTTGGATCCTTCTAAACATCATTCAATATCACTCAACGGACGAACGGTTACAAGAGATACGACAGCTTTATCGAACACTAGCAGCTTGAATAACACAGCTGATGCTAACACATTGAATGAACAAAAGAATGTCTTAAAAAAGCCAAGCAAGAACAGAAATTATAGTAATACGGCATTGGACATAAGCGCAGGATCGACTAGTTTGACAAGATCTCATTCCATCATGAGTATTGATGACGACTCAGAAATTGAACTATGGGATGATATATTAAAAGATAACCGAGACTCTGTTAAATCAAAAGCAAGCACAAGTAATATAGACGACACATTCTACTTTACTTATCTCGACGTTTCTAATACACCAGTCAAGTACGCGTCATCAGCAGCCGTGGACATTGACGAACTCAATTCTTGTCTTGTATATAAAATCCGCTTTTATTCAAGGCAAAGGGATCACCCACAAGCCAAACGACTAGTCAAGGTGACAGAGGATGAGAAAGTTACAGGTACCTGTATTGGATTTCTACCAGAACCGTATACAGAGAGCGAATGTGTTGGGTTGCCAGCGTCTGTTGATGAAAATGAGCTTGAGGCAGACGATGACGAGCCAGTAAACCGGTTCGATACTCTGTCTTTCTCTCAACAGACATATGAATCCCAAGTTTATTCACAGCAAGCAACATCATCGCAACAGCAAAGAAAAAAGGATATACAAGCTGAGATCACACAGTATGTACAGACAGAGTATGCAGAACCTATACTTCCTGAGGAATATGACATTATCCTAGTATTGGACAATCGAGAAGTTCAAATGAAAAACAATCGAAGTTACTTTCAAGAAAAACTAACCGAGAAGGGAATCAGTATTTGCACTCGCTCTTTAGACCTTGGTGATTTCATATGGATCGCACGTAAAAGGGGCAGTACAGACCCATCGGATGAGTTATTCCTAGATTACATTGTAGAAAGAAAGCGATTGGATGACTTGGTGCATAGCTTGAAAGACGGAAGATATAAAGAACAAAAGACAAGACTTAAAAGATCTGGTGCTCAGCAAGTAATATATATCGTCGAAGAATATAACCGAGAATATGCTGTCAACTTTGGACTTCAAGCCATTCAGACAATCATGTCTTCTATTCAGGTTGTAGACGGCTTTTTCTTAAAGAGAACAAATACTATCGACGAGACGATTGATTACTTGGTATCATTGACAAGGCTTATTGAGCGAATGTACAAAGGAACAATATTATACCCCATACCAGGACATATAGTAACAAGCCAAAACTATATTGATTTAAAAAGGGCATACAAGGATAAGGTCGGAAACAGTAAAACTGCATACTTGATCTCTTATCCAGTCTATAACCAAATCAATTCTAAAAACGGCAGTACGAGCTTGCATGAAATCTATCTGAGGATGTTGACGTGTATAAGAGGTGTTAATGCTGAAAAAGCGTTGGCACTCATGCGAGTTTATCCGACACCATATTCATTATTAAGTGCATTTCAAAACAAGGACGAGCATGATGCCAAAAACCTTGCTTATGAGGCCACTCAAACACAGATCAATCGACGTAAATGGGGACCCCAGCTTAGTGAGAGATTATACCAAGTGTGGGGTGCGTCAGAATACTCAAATACGGAAACATTTAGCGATTAATGACCAATAAAAGGGGTGTATGAGAATGTACAGCGATTTATTCTTTTTTATTTATATTTATACACAGCTTGACTTTACTGGGATTGAAAGTATGCGTTGGCACTAATGTAGGAAGACAAACCACCTACGTCAATACGACCTGATATTGGAAATGTTCCTAGCTTAAATCGAGGGTATAAATAAGCCAAGCATTTACCCGTTGCATCGTATTCTTCCTTAGATGCATTGGATGCTTTACAATTATCCACAAACTCTTGAATCAAAGGTATAGCCTTGCTATTGATCAAGTAAAAGCAAGGACAGGCTTTACGCGATTGTGTAGCGAGAGGACTAGGCTTTTCAAGAAAACTAGTGATGATGCCTTGGCTGTTTGTTTCGACAATACCAAATTTATGGACCTGTTCTTCTGACACACAGTATGTTGTCACTAAGCATGCATCATAGTTTGAGTTCATTTGTTTGTATCTGCCAAAGAACTTGTCCAAGTTAAAATCACGCAAGAACAAGGTATCGCCACCCACAACCAAGACGTCTGACTGATCCAAGCCAAAATGGTTTATGCCAAACAAGATATCTGGAACTGCTCCGAGACGTGTTTCGTTTGAAGAGGTGCCATCACTCACAACATGGTCCAGAGGTATATTATGATATTTAGCCCAAGTAATGAAGGCGTCATAGCATTGTGCATTTGTTACAATGTAGATCGAACTAGGCGTAATTCCATGCTCTTGAAAAAGTTCAACCCAGTAAGTGATGAGTGCATCTTTCTGACCAAGAGGAAGTAAGGCTTTAGGAATCCCCAATAAATGGTTGTAATCTGGATTGACTGCCAAGTCTTTCTGTAAACGAGTTCCGTATCCCGCGCCCAAAATCAAAACTATCAAAGGGGTGTTATTAAAAGAAAATCGAAAACTGTTTGTGCGTCACACCTTTGATCATTATAGAAGAAAAGCGAGAGAAAGAAACAGAGAAAATGGGGTGATATGAGCTTGCTTAATTTGTGCAACAGTTTATTTAATGAATAAACATGGCACTTATCTCTTCTAAACGTTTGTTTGATGTCTATCATAGCATATCAATAAAAGAAAAGAAGGTAATGTAGAACTTACCTCTGGTACAAGTTTTACTATAAAGAGCCATAGGATGCTTGAGATGATAGCGTACAGCCAAAATGTGCCTGCTGTAGATATCAACTTTGTCATTGTCAAAAAAGTAGAAGCTACTATCAAATTGAGGACCCAATTGGTGGTAGTTGCAATACCGTTTGCTTTTCCTCGAAGTTGAAGAGTGAAAAGTTCCCCTTGTATGATCCAAGGAATGTATCCTAGGCCTAACGCATAACTGGCTACATAGGACGTTAATGATAAAAGTAATATGATCATGATGATGGATCGATCAGAGCATGACTGACTATGAGCATCTACACAGTCAACGTTCAAAAACGAAAAAGTCTCTTGCTGCACAGCAAATGATCCTCCCAAGACAATTAAACTTAAAATCATAGAAAGCATAGATAGAATCAAGATACGCCTTCGTCCCGCTTTATCGATAATACTTACTGCAATCATTGTGAATACCATGTTTGCAGTAGCTACTACAAGTGCCACAGCTGTAGGGTCATTAAAGTTAGCCATAGCAAGAATGGTGGCTGCATAATACATCACAGTGTTGAACCCACTCAACTGTTGAGCAGCTTGTAATAAGCATGCGATCATTAAAGGCTTTAGGTTTTCAGGTCTTTTAAAATCTTGATAAGTCCCTAAATTGGTATTCTGCATGTCTTCCTGAATAGCCTCAATCTCTCGATTAATAAATGCCTCTGATACATGCTGACCATAAATCTTTTGCAATGTCTGTTTAGCTGCCATAATATCATTTGTAACCACCATTCGACGAGGACTCTCTGGCATAAATGGCATAATGACGAGCTGAATGGCAGCAGGAAGTGCACCAATTCCAAACATATATCTCCAACCACCCTCTGTTTGGGCAAAAATCATGTTAGCTATATAAGCTACTACTTGACCGAATGTAACGATTAGTGTGTTTAAAGTCGCCAGTCTTCCTCTAGAGTCCTTGGGCGCAACTTCACCTGCAGAAAAAGAGATTAGCTTTTATGTAATTTATATCCAAGTTACTTTACTGATATAAACTGGTATAATCATTGAGGCTGTTCCCACGCCTACTCCAACTACAAGTCTACCCAACAATAACATACTGTATGACTGAGCGAGAGCAAGTACCCCTGAGCCAATGACAAAGATGATAGATGCACACAGGACGAGAGGCTATCTATTGGTTATTCATTGTTTTAAAAGTTCAATAGAAATACCTTTCTTCCAAACCTATCGGATAACTGCACATCAAGTATTTGTGTGAGTACACACACTCTATAAAATTGGTCTATCTTACAGATCCAGCTATGAGTCCACCGAATATAGCACCCAATGTTGTTCCACCAACTATATATTCCTTTTGACGTGTTGTCATTATAAAATCTCTTTCGATTGGACTTAGTGCTCCAGAGATAACTAAAAATGAGGGGTTATTATACATACAAAAGATGATTTTTTTTTACCTCCAGTATCATAACCAAATAAGAATCCGCCTAAACAGACACACGATACAAGAGAATATACAAATGGAGTTATTTTTTCTGACTGTTCAGTTTCAACAGGTACATTGTCTGTTGAAGGAATCCTTTCATAATGCTGTCTTTCGACATGGTTATTCAACATTTGTAAAGAAAAAAAAGGAAGAAGGAAAGAAATATCTGCCTGAAGACAGCCAATGAGAAAAGCAAAAAGTTACGGAAATTTATTTATCCGCCATTCATGCATTTTATCAAGGTACATAATATGAGTTTTAGGGAAGAAAGTGATAATATGTACACTTTACAAAGTGCATTAATATCAATTTAGGTCACAAATGGGCTTAACGTACAAGACAATTGTGCAGCCCTCCAAGCCAATATAGTTCTTGATGTAGTTGTTATGATATATTGCCTATGGTTTAGATTCACAAAAGTAAGGCAGAGTTTAATAAGAAAATGATTATGTCATCTTTAATTATATAAAACAAGGGCAACTCAATCATGCACAAAAGACCTTCTTTTTGTAAATGTGCTGTCTGAGTGTAAGAGAGAGAGAACTGTGAAAAAGTTGAAATAGCGCACGCGTTTTGCTTCTTTTTTCGTTGCTATTTCCTGCGTCAAATATGATAAAGAAATCCACTGTTGTGTTAGCGTCAGGCTTAGTATGGCTGCGTTGGTTCATTGCGAGCCTTTCTGGTTATATACATCCTGATGAATTCTTTCAGAATCCCGAAATTACGTCCTCACTCATATTTGGAATTCAGGCTTTTACGCCTTGGGAATATCAGCCACAGAATGCTGCTCGCTCTATAGTCGCTCCGTAAAGACATTGCTTGTGTAATTTAGATTGAGCCACTAACATAACATAGCTTTCTTACTACTGGAATTCCCTTTTGGATCTTAAAGAACATCTTGCCTGAAGGACAATGTAAGAACAGATTAAACTATAAAGAGGGAAAAACAATAAACTAAACTAAAGAAAAAAGTACCTTCTGCTACCCAGCTGTATATTACCGAACGTCTTGGGGCATTCGTATGGTCTCTCTTTATTGGTAAG